TATCTATCTATCTATCTATCTATCTATCTATCTATCTATCTATCTATAAACATATCTATCTATTTATCTACACACTCATAGGGCTAAACATAGGGGTTTCCCACAGCAACCAGTTCCAGGCTCATATGTTGCACGCCAGGCTGACCCCCCACAGCAGTCCGTCTTGTAGTGGGAAGCCTGGCACTTGCCCTAACTACAGGAGCAAGGACGAGACGGAAGAGGGGCGAGTCTTCATTTGCATCCAAGCTGAAATTGATTAACTGCAAAAACACCACCTGAGACTCATAAAGCAAACTGAACCGCATCTTAAAATAGTTTTAAAAGCTGTGGCCCTGATAAGCATATGGGTTAAGTTTTTTTAAAGACTTGAAAAGATAATGTGAGGCAAGAAAGTCCTTCAGCTGGCTAAAGCAGAGCTTTTCTTCAGGAAGGACGTATTATGCAAACAACAATACAGCCCTAATAGCAGGCAATTGCAGCTGCTTGGAGTTTTATGGTGTAAGACCTCCATCAATTCCTACTCAGTCATTATGTGTAGACAAGCCTGTTAGCAAATCAATTGGCCCCATGAACCAGTGGACGTCTCAGACCAGGAAGGGGCCATTCCTGCCCCACCACCATTATTTCCAGTGGACCCTTTTAAAGCAAGGGTATTTTCGATTCTTTAGGGCTGACTGAAACTGTAATCCAAAATCGACTTATTTTCACAAATTTAAACATAGTTGAAAATGTTGTTCCAGTAAGCTAGGCCACGGAACTGTTGCTGAATGTGTACAGCCCAGTGAATTGATATGAGCTAAATGAGGCAGAAAGTTAGCACCAAGATGAGAGACAAAAAGGCTGAGGAAAGTCATTAAGAACACGTCAAAATCGCAGAAAAGAGCCCTAAGAACACTTTGTTTGCCTTTGCTTGAAATAAGAGCTGCAGGAAAAGGCCTTTTTCACTTCTGATGCGGGGCTTTAAATCCATCGAATTTACATCACCTTTGAGACAGTCAACCCAGAATAACAGAAGTGAAAGCAGCCAAGCCATAGCTCTAAAAAATAACCCCAGCTGCTGCCACTTGAAAGACAGAGTGCGAAGGAAGTAAAATGGTAATCCCGCCTCTGTCTTTTGTTTGAAATAGGACAACAATCCAAACAGAGGTAGGGTTTAGACAGTAAAGAGGGAAACCGAGAACCTTGAAAAGGACACTTCCTCACCGCAGGAGGAAGAAAAATAAAATCAGCAGATTTTGCATGTCAAAGCACAAGAACAGAGTGGGGGGGTGGTGAAAAGGAGAAAGGAGAGTGAATTTTCACAGTATGTGGGATATTTGAGGAAATTGAACCGATCGCTACTCCTTTATTACGCACACACAAGTTTCTAAGCTCATAGACACTAATTTCCCCTCCCATGCTTGAGCACATACTTGTTCTAAATTTCTCTGTTGCTCAGGGGATGAGGGAGAGCTTTAAGTCCCAATAAAAATGCCTGAGCCCCTTTTTTCAACAAAAAGTGAGCAGTGTTTCACCGTTAGCTTCCTCCTTCATCAAGGTTTGTCACAGCATGAACACATATGATCTTTCCCTTTCATGTACTTTGAAGTGAATGAAATTCTGGGTAAACATCCAAAACGCTCCCACAGTTTAAAATGGAAATAGGAATGCTGTATGGAGCTGGTGTCCCCTTTCATTTCCCTATGCAGAGCCTGCTGAGATAAAGGCGGCCTTAACAGTAGAGAAAGACCTCTTTTATAATTCTATTAGAGCTCTGTCCCTCCAACTCTCAGTTGAGCAATGGATTCTGACCCTGACTTAATTAAGTGGCAAATGGCAGAATGATTCTCCTAAACCCAGCCCACGGAGTCAAGAACACATGACTGGATTCAAATAAAGAGGGACAAACAAGGATAATTAGTCAAGCCTGAAAGACAAAAGCAGGCAGGAATTCATAGGAAGGGAAGGAAAACTGAGACGGAGGAGGCGGAGATAGTGCTGAAGGAGTCAGAGAATGACCAATCTGACCGTCTGCAATAAAGGTACATTGGTCTGTAGGAAGAGGAGGATGTCCACCCCACCACTCGCCCATCTTCCCGACACACACTGAGCCCTTCTAAACTATCAAAGCCTCTCCAGCTCCTCCTCCTCTTCCATGAGCATACATATTCACTGTGAATACATCAAATAGAATCACTGAGGGGGAGAGAAAGTGGCAGTGGTGTATGGGTGAGGAGGAGGCGGGGGTCTTGGGGCTTGACCAGCCAGAACAGACTTCACAGTGGGGGTGGGCGACTTGTATGCGACTGATTCCCATGCAGCCAGTGGCTTCACTTCCACAAACCACGGGGAGGGAAGAGCAGAGAGTGAGGAAGAGGGACAGCAGCAGAAAGACAGAGAGGGCTGAGAGGGGAATGACAGAGACGAGAGAAGAAAAAAAAAAAAGAAGCGCACACAACAGGGAGAGAAAACTGGGCCCCAAAGCATCAAAGGTTGCTAAGGGCGAGAATGAAGGAGCAACACAGTAAACGGCACGGCAAGAGTCCTAAATAGGGCTTTCTATGGTCCACACAGTTACAGTGAGGGGTTATTTGACTCTGCTCTGGGAGCATTTTGTAAAAGAACGAAGACAAATATTTTTACAAGTGGAAATGGATGCCCCTTCTCTCTCTCTTCCAGTGCGGCCTGAACAGATGACCAAATTTCAAAAGGTTGCTGAGCTCTATAGAGAGGCCAGTGGGAGAGCATCTGGGTGCTGTAGGCAGGGAGAGGGATGAGCTGAATATATTGTGACATTAATGAGGTTGTCAGAGTCCTCATGATGGAGTGGCTGTGTTTTTGTGCCAGCAAGACTAACACCCTTAAACGCTCATGCTGTTAACCCCTGCTGAACCCTCGCCTCTCACACAAAGCTGAGGAGACGATAACACATGGCTCGCTTCAGAGTGCAGCCAGCTTCACAGAGAGCTAAATTTTAAGTCTTAAGTCACATACAGCAGCTCCTTTGATTCTTTAGCTTTCGTTAGCCTTAATTAGACATCATTTTCATTACGACTTCTAAATAGGGCTCTGTCAAAATTGCAAGTTTTACCAGACAACGCTCTAATGGAGCAGCCCCCTCCTCCACATCCACCTAGTCCTCAGACTTATTGGTATGTGGGTAATTAGTGACTGAGGTACCACATCTCCCACACAGGGCTAATTACTGACCTGTGGGTTTCATTTAGAGAGAAAGTACAGAGATGACATGGGAAGACCCAGTCATTCATTTATCTTAATCAATTACTCTTTCTCCACCAGGGCACCTAGCAAGGCCAGCTCCTCTAAAAGTCCCATTAAAGACCTGGCTGTCCAGCACGGCTAACCTGTGAGCCACTCTCTGTGAGCTTTGCTCTGTGCTACGTGGACCAACATGAAGGACAGGAGCCAAAGTAGATGGGTCTTGAAACCAAAGTCTTATGACCAGGGCGCACATTTTATAAAAAAAAGCAACAAACAGCCTGAGAGAACAATGCCAGGGCCCGAGCAGAGAGAGAGTTAAAACAGGCAGGAGGGGCCAGGTTTGAAGAGGTTAGCCGTGTGATTCATTTTTATTACCACGCAGCCCCTGCAGGCGGCAGGAGTGGCAAATTATTTCTGAAACAAAGTGGAGGGCTCTCATCAGAGCTATTACCTGCCTGTGGCCGAAGGCGGCGCAGGCCCTACAGAGGGTGACAGTCAGGGGCCCCCGTCAGTGAGGGATAGCCGTCCACATCCGTCCACGCTTCAGGACATCTCCCCCAAAATGAGAACCGGCGTACCTGCACGTGTGTGCGTTTGTGTCTCTGCTCTCTGCGTGCACGACCACGGGAAGGTATGGGTAAATCTACACGTTAGACCTCCCTCACAGAACGGGTTGAAATGAACTACAGCTATTTCTGTTACAAACATGTCAAGCAATTAGAGGTGATGCGCAAAACACGACAACTCCCAGGTGCTAATTAAAAGAACAACTCCTCTGCAGTACGATGACTGCAGAGATCTGCCAGCTATCATTCCAGATGTAGTGGGCTGGATAGATGGGATTTTTTGCTTTCAGTTCACAGGAACCCTTGTATATTGAGGCAGTCTTGATAAATGGGTTTATAAATTCCATCTAATTGCTTTATTGGTCAAGCAATCAGTAAGTGTTTATCGGCATAAGTCAATAGGAGCAACACTGGGGTTGACAGGGAGAGACAAATGCAGTACATCAGTTGCAGCACTCATCACTTATGTGCTGAAGAAAAAAATAGAAAACATAAAATCTATTACTTTAAAGCTTGAACTCCAACACTGTTAAATTATCCTCATGTGAGAGATGTCTTAGCATTTATTTGAGCAAGATCAGTATTAACAGGTGAATTACGGCACTGTAATGTAACAAAATAAAGAAAAAGGAACACCAGCCTAAAAGTCTTTCCACAACTTGGCCCCTCAACACGAATTGTGATATTAAGCTTTATCAAATATTGCACTGGGCTTTAAAAAAGTCATTTCATTACATGTTGTATCATTTCTCTTACTCGTACACAAGTATTCATCAACACCTCTGAGAGATGCAAAACCTCATCATTTTGAAACAGAAGGTATTCCTGAAAACTTATTTTTTCTCCACTGATGGCTCATAAACAATAAGGATTTATGGGCAAGGACTTAATAAAAGGTGCTTAAGTGAAGAGCAGTCGGGTGCAGAATTTTAACAACAACTGATCGTTTCCTTCTGGAATGAGGCCTGCAATCATTCTGATGTGAACCAGTAATTTCATTGCCGTTATAATCTTTACATAACAAATATATAAAGATAGTGTTCTTATGATCTAAAGTATCATATGCTATACCAATCTTGTGGATGAATGCCTTTGAGTTAAATTTAAAAAATGCAAAGGGGTAAAACTAGTCTTGCAGGAGACATTCAATCAACCGCTGGGTTGATATTCAGGTAGTTACTGAATCGTTTAGATTAGGTGTCACTAATATTTAGCGGGAGTCAGCACGTATATACTGCCTGTATGCCATCAAAAAGCTGCTCCTTGTCACCAGTATGACAATTAAAATCATTGCATATGTGCCAGCTCAAGTTAAGAGAGACAAGCAAAGGAAGAGTCAGATTTATTGGCAGACAGGGGAAATGAGATTAACATTAAATTGGTAAGAATAATTCATACAATTGATTCTCTCAGCAGGAACAATGTCAGCACCTCACCGACCAGTGGCATCGTCTGACATTTCAACTGATCCTTTTGGTCTAAAGATTAGTTATCCTGCAAATTAGATTTATTGTTTGACAGTGGAGGCTAATGGAGAAGTTGCTGCAGGATAAGATCGTATTTTTTCAGACAGAGAAGAACCTTTGTGCTCGGAGCGACATGGGAATGACAGTGTCCGGGAGAGGAATCAACATCAATAATCTTTGATCAAGTCCACAGCAGAGCACTTGGGCACAGCCGCCATTCAATAAACGACTGTGGGCCATTATTCAGATTCAAGGGGTACAGGTGAGAACAGCTGTTTATTACCTAACAAGTTCGTATGGTCCCTGTATTTGCTCCGAAACATGATTTGACTAAATTTGTGTTTTGCACAGTAACTTTTAAGTCTAATGAGCTTCAAGTTGCATATTTATTCTGATGCACAGATTTTAAAACCATAAATTGCCCTCCAGACAATCAGTAATAGCAGCAGAGCTAGAAGTTAATGTGATCATTGGTTTTCGTTAAAAGCAAGCTTCTAATGCCGATTGGAATATTTACATGATGTTTTGGTGACTTTCCGGATATCTAGGAATCGGTAGTACTGCGGGATATAACGTCAATTTGATGTGTTTCAACAGATTCCATAACCAAAAATAGTCACAACAAACAAATTAATACAGAAGGGGGCAATGTTAAAACATTTCCACAACCTGATAAGACACAATGCTTTCAGTAATCTTGCACATTAGATGATAAGAAAAAAGAAAGCACCTTTAATTCCCTGTTCACTTTTACCAAAAGAGTAACAAAGCACTGATATTAGTCAAATGCCACCAGCAGCACCCTGCAGATATTCTTTACTGTCATAGACGGAGTGATGACCCAGGCCTGTGTGATGGATAAGTGACAGTGCAGCCTGGGGCCTGAGGGCCCGGCTCTCGGGGCGGGGTTTAGCCATCATGGTGTGCTTAATTACCTGCGCACTCGCCCAGCAGGTCATTAGTCAGACCAGGAGGCTAGATCTTTCCTTTCACCACCACTTTAAAAAATGTTTTAAAAAATCCTTCTCCCAGATGCGGGTACCTCAGTGGAAGCAGAATGAAGGTGACAATAAAATGTATAAGATACACTGTGAGAAGCTTCTTCTTATGATACAATAGTAAAAAGAATGCCAGATGAGTTCCACGTCTTTAATAAACTTAAGACTGGATTTTTACAAACCTGGTGGTTGTTTAAGATGCGGGCCAAATTCTAAAATATTTTCCTGATTAGCAATTACATGTAAAGTGCCAACCCTGACAAGTCAGAGCATTTATCAGGGAAGTGCAAAAATGATGTAACACATACCACTCCGTTCATGAATTATTGCTTTTCCGACGGCAGCAGAGCGATGACACACAACACAACACAACGCAACCCGCGGTGGAGATACTGGATACCACCAAAAGGCAGAAGAATGTGCTGTCGGGGAACTACTCTGATCTAACAGACTTTGTGATCAGTGTGTACAGAATGAGCTGACGCTCAGACATAAAACACAGTGTTTTTGTCTCAGTAGGCTGACATTTATGGACCCCTGGTGTTTCTTATGGAGCATTTTGTGGTGAGAACTGCCTCTGCTGAGATGTGGGTGGCTAATAAATGGCAGCTAATGGAGAGAAGACAGCTCTGCCTTTCTCATTCTATAATCTATTCACGCTTCATTAAGCAGCACCTTTATTTGCCGATGTGTGCTAACCTGGTACTGTCACTCCCTGGCTTGGCGTAGCCCTCCAGAGCACCCTCCCACACGCTGTTGGCCATGGTGTTGCCGATGGCCGTCATCACCATGCTGAGCTCCACCGGCCAGTCATCGAGGTCCAGAGAGCGCACGCGAGACAGGTGGGTGCCCAGGTTCCTGTGGATGCCCGAGCACTCGATGCACATCAGGGCACCCAGGTTCAAGCTGGCCCAGTCAGGATCTGCGTGATGGAAGAGAAAAATATGTTCACACAAAAGAAAAAAAAACAGGGATGACTTTCAGAAGTCGTAAACATTCCTTTATCTTTTTTAAAAATCATTAATGGGGTTGAGAATAAGCAATCAGAGCTATGCCGCATATTGTGCTGCAGTTATTTTTAACGCTGAAAAATACAGATATTAGGCTTTCATGAAACGATAAGAGAACGCTAAAAGCTTTTTGATTACAAAGGGTCACACTCACTGGCTGCATCACAGTCCACGCAGAAGCTGTTGCCCCTCACGTTTCGTATGGACTGAATGGCCATGGCATCACTTTGGCTGCCCAACCGAGACTGTGCGAAATGAAGGAGAGAATAATTCAACGGGAACTAATCACTTCAGTGTGGAGCAACACAAGGCAAACAATTACAGCCGGACTCAAATCACGAAACGACCTGTGCGCAGGGGAAGAGAAGTTGTTCTTCAAAGTCTTCAGAGAGAAGACTGAAGGCAGAAATGGTATGAATATGAAAATGAGGCCGCGTCTACTCGGTGTGCTGACACAAGCTGTGTTATATCTCTGATGTCTGTCGGTTCTAATAAGAGATCAGCCACAATGCAGAGCACCTGTCTGACAGCCTCCCACACGTGACAGCTTGAAGCGGGTGAGGAGGGGGAGGGCAATAAATGTGGAAAGAAGGGGAACAGGGAATGGAAATGAGGCAGCAGAACTGTAGGATGATGACGCTGTTCTCATAAGATGATATCAGTGCGTCCTGCTCAGGTTTTCGTTGGACTATCTTTCTTGAAGCACTGTACCTTGTTCTTTATGCTCTCACAGGACTGAAGGCTGGCAAAGATCTGGCTCTCTATCGCCTGGACCCACAGTTCCCTCTCCTCATAAGTAGATGCTTCAAAGTTCCACGTCTGACCCGTCAGCGACACAATGATGAACTCGAAGGAATCCTCTTGCTCTAGAAAACAAAAATAAACAGTGAATTAGTGCTTAACGCAGAAGTGAAGGGACTGAATTAGTCTGCAACCTTTTTTTAAAGGCTGTTTTTGGTCAGCCTTTCTCACACCACTGCAGGGCTGTACGCGGTGGGCTGGGGTTAAACATTCAAACGTTGTTCCTGATATGATCAGTTACCTCAAACGATGGGGAAAAAAAGTCAAAGACCACTTAGCTTTGGTATCACAAAAAGTGTCAAACGCAAACGACAAATCAGATGACTTCAGCAGTTACAGCAAAGCATGCTAGTTTTTAAATACAAACTCTCCTTAATGTTTCATAAGTGTATGGCAACATAAAGAAAGGTTTGAGTGAGAATGTGAGAAAAGAAAAGCAGCATAGGCTCCCACGCTTTTATCCAACATCATGGAGAAATATGCCATTTGTTTTTTATCTTTGACAGATGTTTCAATATCTTTTGGAAAATTCAACCAGCTGACCCGACTAAGCCAATCCAGCAGGGCATCAGGAAGGCAGAGCAGTTACATGGTCCTCCACATGTAAACATGATAAATAAATCAGTCAGTTTGTGCTAAGTTTCAAGTCTCTGTTTCTTTGTTTGTCTTTTCATCTCTGGTAAAAAAAAAAAATATATTAAAAATGTAAATCCTTTTTATTTTATTTTTTTACTTTTAGTTACGTTTCAGTACCTAAAGTTAATATTGCAGTGTCTGCATTAAGGACTATGTTTTTTAAAGATTAAAATCTACAAGAAACTGCATTACCCACATTAGCACAAGGATTTAACTATGCAAACCAGCCTTTGCATGAGGCTCACTTGACCACAGCAAACGTATATCTGGCAAACTCACTTAAGACATGGTGTCATTTATATCGCAGAAATGCTGATGGTTTTCTTCTTTGGATGCATTCTAAAAATATGTGAGAGCTTATGTTTAGGCATCATGGAGTGTCACCCCTGACCATTCAATGTTTGCCATTTTTCAGAGGTCTCGACTTTACATGAAACATGCTCTTTTGTGATTGGTGTTGACTTAATAGATCATTGTAGAAAATCATGCATCATTTCCCCTGTAATCATCTTTGTAAACTCATTTCACTATGGAATATTTGGAGTACTATTTCAAGGGATTTCCACGTCTGAGAATCCCTAATCTCAAGTGTTTCTCAAGATTTCAATCTTTAACTCTTAGGGAAAAGAATCCTGCTATAGCTCATCTTCATGATTCTGTTTCGTCCTTTTATTTCAACTCCTTTTTATCATGAGAATATATTCCATTTCTAACTGAATTTGAACAATGCAAATCATTGCCTTTTGTACACTAATTATTTGCATTTAAGTAAGATTCATGAAAATGTCACCTGACATTTCAATGAAGAGGTCTGACACAACATATGCTCCAACACATGCTGAATTTCCTCTGCTGTTCAGAGGCAATTCATTAAGTCTGTACAGTACAATGCGACTCGTGTAACGTCTCTGGTCTGTGCACATGCTTGAGCTCATTGTCAAATGATTTGTAATTACCTAATTATGTCTATGCAAATAGTCATCTCATTTACATAAACCATGTTTGGAGGACTGTAGGAAAATAGACACAAGGGAGATGCGTCTTCCTCTGCAGCTTTGATCTACATTGCCAAATATTTTTGCCTAGGTGCTGTCTTCAAAAAGCTCAAACTATTACTATTATAAATAACCAAAAGAACTTGAAACAAATCTTAAATTTACAACACATGAAACGCAAACTGATTAAACATTTGACGTAAAAGAATATTTCCAATATCAAATTCATTTTTTAAGAGGCAAAAAATTATAAATACGGCAGGAAATGATCATGCTCAGATTCTCAGACAAATCATCCAATTAAAAAGATTACAACACTTTACTTTCCCGATCAATTCGCCCCCTTTGCGGCTAGACACTGCTCTGTGCTGTAGAATGACAGATCTGCCATGGAGTCCGCTAATGTTGCAATCCCTGCGTAGCAGCAGAGGCCCATCTCTTCAGGGGGAAAGCAATAATTCAATTAGGTTGACACCGACTTCAATTATCTGATTTAGTTTGTGGAATCGACTCCAGGTCACAGGGCATCAATAAAGACTTTGAAGCTCTTTATTTAGACTTGCAGCGAAAAACTGTATGCAGGTGTGAATTTTTAAAGCACTGATGGGATTAGAGTCAAATTGGACCAAGTGAAAATAGTCAACTTCAAAGAACACGGACGGAAAGACAGACCAATCTGAAAATAACCAGAAAAAAACGGACGGAATAATTGTGAGATAGATAATTGAATTTTTTTTCTTGTTCACTGTACCTCCAGGTACAATAATGAAAGCATTGGATTAAAATTTGTGATTCCAAATGTTGTTGTACTTGTCCTCTCATCGTTTTGAACCTGAACAAAGCTAATTATTCTGTTGGCTGCCCAGGCAATAAATTGGAGGCATTAAAACACTTTCATTATGGAGATTAAAAAAATCCATGGTTGGCTGCTTTCTTAAACTGATGAGTATACAAGGGAAAACAAATCTGGTTCACAATACATGCTAATGCACATGAGAAACACACTGAAACTCTTTTCCACTCTTACTACTCAGCACGACTTGACTCAACTCTTGTTTTTTATTTATTTAATTTCTATTGGTGTAAGCACCACCTAACAGGTATAATTTCAGTTTACCTACCCGTCCAGGAAACCTCGCAACTTGAGTCAAAGGTGCTATGGACTCCAGTCCACTGATTGGCCAAAGAGTCCCATGACTTGAAGAGTCATGAAAGCTACGCCTTCTCAAGCACCCTTTTTATTTAAAATATGCAGCAACAACAAGCGTATTATGTAATTATTTCTGCTATCATCAACATAAAAAAGGAGTATTTATTCCCCCAGTGGTGGTCGATGAATATGTAACACGTTCCTATGAAGTAGTGATGAGGTTCAGCCAGAACATGGCTGTCACAAAGTCCAACACAAAGCCCTTTGTGTCGTATAAAGATATGACGTCCTGGGACTTTCGGGCCCGTATTGCTGTTACAGACTCACTTGGCGAGTCGAGTAGAGCCGAGTAGGTGCTGGACCCAAAAGTCCAGCACCTACATGCAGGATCAGTGCACTGAAAGTTGCATTTAATGTCATCCACGTTGTGACAGTTTAGCTCCACGTAAGCATGAGGTCAAAGTGTTCCTCTCACAGGCTGTAAATCTGAGCATGAATGAAAGGTTATTGCTATCTCACAGGCACCTGCAGCCGTGATATCTTCAAAGAGCCATTATTGCTCATGATATCGCTCAGTTGTTGCAGTTAGCACACGCTTTGCTGCAATCACCTTGTTACATTAACATAGGCATTAACCTTATGACCACATCTACATGATTTTTCGATCAACAAGTTCTTGGCAATTAGAAATCAATTAACGTATCTCCATAAGTGGGTGGACAAGTAGGAACACAGTTTAAAGCCAGTGGAGGTACCTACTTTGAAAAATGAGCTAAATATGATTTCCCTTAATTAACATGGAATAATAAAAAAGTAATTACAGCGTATTGGCCACAGAGTTACAGAGAGAAATGAGCAGATTAAGAAATACTTCTCTGACCAACATTTATATGGATCATAAAACTGTTCAGGAACCACTCGGAGGCTCAGTGTTGTTCATCTGCCACTTAATGGCTTTTTACAGCAACACGGCAGCATTTAACTGACAAAATCTTTTATTTGGCTCACAAAACAGTGAAATATTTAACAGGGATAGAATATGTACCTAAGCACAAAAGGTCAGAGCATTTAAGTGTGATTTTATAGGATTTCTATTGTCAGATAAATCACACACTGAACCTGCATAATATGCATTTTAGTATTCAAGCAAATTTGAATGATAATACTCTTATACTTTTACATCTATTTGCCAATCAATCACCTTTTTACAAGGTTAACACAGAAGCGTTTCGAGTATTGACATACTATTTAAGGATCTGCGTATGTGGCCTGTCACTTAACAGATTTCAGGGTACTGTAGGTATTTCTTAGACTTTAAAATCAAGCTGGAACCTTAGAGGGGAGAGGCCGTCCCGAGGACGCCGATTCTTCTTTTGCTGTTTGAGTGCAGCAGACGTACTGCAGGGGAGCTGTGGATCAGATTAGCACCTGAGGGGTTCGGTGCTGAGCCCAGCTGTGCTGTCTATAACACGGCCTCCACTCCGTCTAAACCTCTGAAAGTCCTCTGGAGACCAATGCGACGATCGCTTTGAAAGGACTCTTCACCTTGAAAACTCTCCATTTGATCTATTCGAGGGAACGCTTGGCTGCAACAGTGACAAGGCGCAGGGGTGCAGGAGGTGAGCTATTGTTTTTGTGTACAGGATGTGTTGTGTTAGGTCATATGCATGCATCAGGCAGTCACTTAAAGAAGTGCTTGCCGTTCCTGTGAATTAACGAGCAGTTGGGAAGAACAGGCCAAGGCGGTGCCATCTGTAAATGTCACAGGCACTGCTTGCTCATTTTACACATCATTAAAGCCAATATTCCTAACCTGTATCAGAGCAATCAGGAGCAGGCCATTACTGCGACAGGAGCCCCGGGGGAACCACGACCAAACTCAGAAGGAAAAGAGCAGTGAGGAAGAGAGAGATAGAGCACACTCTCTGTCTATGTGACACACACGCACACACACCCACACACACACAGAGTCAGATGCACGTGCTAAAACGTGCTCACACCTTCCAACACTGAAGAAGCACATGAAATCAGCATCACTATCACTAATAGCTATTGCGTTTAACAACAGAGCAAAATGAAAACACGGCCAATTATAGCAGTAACTGTGGGCAGTGTGTATAGAGCCCAAATGAGAATCTTGTTATTCCTTTCCTTCCATAGTGTGGCGCTCAGAGAGCTAAGCCATTACAAGAGTGGAGGCTCCAGGGACAGCTTTCGGAAATGAGAGCGAGTCTGGGAGTGACAAAACAAAGTATTGAGATAAACACCCACCATTAGCACAGGCAGTTAAACCTCCATTTCCTAATCCTCAGCTGGACTCCAGAGGATATTAACCCTTTCCTCACGAAGGTGCAGGACAATAAGATATAAGATCAAGAAGGAATCTCAATGTAAACCAACTCAATATCAGTGATGACTACATGTAATTCTCCAACGTATCGATACCCACAGAGGTAAAAGCTTTTAAAAACAGAGACAAATTCCAGATATAGCACATATTATTTGTGATAGTTTAGGAATACCGTTTTAGGCACAGTGTGTAAGCATCCTTACTTATTTCTGAAATAATTGTTTTAGAACAATATGTTTCCTTTGGTATTCAAAATTTCCTCGGAAGATGAGGATTGCAGATGGACCAAACTCAAACTATCTTTTATGCAGTTTTTTTTTCTGAAATAAGCCAGGCCTCCGCTTAAGAAGATGATGTCACAGTGTTGTTGAAAGGCCTGCATATACCGTTCAGCTTTACACGTACAGAAAATACTGCCATTCGCCTGGTCTGAATGCTGAATCCTGATCAGTGTTAAGATGGTGAAAATGAATTGTCCTATTTAGCCAAACTATGTGGTAACCATTATTTGTATAAGATGCTGAGATGTCTGGACCCCTGAAAGTCGTGGCAATTCATCTGTGAAGTGACGCCACAACTCTTCTTTGCCATATTTTCAACTTAACTGAAGCACAGCATAACTTCAAAATTACCACAACTTGAAAAAAGAAATTGTGCATGCATATGTTTACATGTTTATGTCCTTAGCAAGGTTTTACCTTCCTGTTGATCAAACCAGCACTTTAAATGTATCCATTGCATTGATTTAATGATAACTGAAATGCTTTAATCTAATCGGGAGTTCGCATAAAAATTATTCCCTTTAATTGATATGAATGTAGCAGAAAACACTGATTTCAGTTTATTAGTAATCACTTCAAATGGAAATGACTGTACTTAATTATGCAAAGTGATTAGAGAGCTATTTTAATTCAAACTGTCACTTATTGGGGAAAAAGTGAACTCAGCCCTGATGTCACAAACTTTTTTTGCAGCAGCAGATGGGGTGTCATTGTACGTTACTGTTGATGTCTTAGAATTTAAGTCATATTTCTTTAAGTCTCTTTTGTGCTTTACTGCACTTCATTCAGCAAAAGAAAAAAAAGATAAGCAAGAAATATTGTGTCATAAGAACGTCAAAATCTGTCCTACGTGAATGGGAAAAGGATATCAGTCGCTGGAGAGAGAAAATTGTGATGCTACCTCACTAGATTTGATGCCCCAAGATTTATGACTCATCACAGTGGGTGACTTCTCACACCCCATTTAAAGTATCTTACGATATGTTCCTTTGCAATCTGAAAAAAAATCATTCTGGCTAGTTTGCCATTAAACTTGTCATTGGATTCATTTTTATCATATTTTAAAACCAATTAAAGTTGATTCTCTGGTATTTTCAAAGTAACTTCCCCTTAACAGGGTTATGATTGTCTTTTTTATGCGATGGACATCACAAATGGTGGAGAGAAAATTAGGCTACATCAAAGAGTCTATTTCTTATCAATGTCTGCTCAGATGTTTGGACTCACAAATGTGATCCTGTTGTTTTGCAATACCTACATAAATGCGTCCCTTAAACACGTTGCATGTTTTTCTTCACCTAGAGTCTGGACACCTCTGGATTACTGCCCAATGATTTGGGGGATAGGAACTAAATTCCAGGTACATAAAGTAGCCCAAATCATAACCATCCCAATTCAGTGTTACCCTCTTAAACAAAATGGAAAATATTGACTGTATACAGTAGATGTGCAAATTTCTATAATTGAAATGAAATTTTGAGGTATACTGTTTTGTTTCCCATAAAACACAATGCAACTAAAATAAGCCAAGTTAGGCAAAATTTGTAGCTCTTTCTGTTTTACGTCTTCTTAATTTCTGTGACCTTAACAAGAATAGCTACCATCTTGTATAAAATCGGATGCACCAGACTCTAATCTGGGTTTTCTCCTACTGCTTTACATCTTTCTGCTAAAGATAGCCCCCCAGAACAATGAGCATTTGATACAATTTCTTTAAAAGAGAAATACATTAATGATGCTCCCTGACAGTCTGCATTAATCAGAAGGGCCTCCCCCTGAACACAAGTCTTTATCGGCCATCGATTTTCCAGTGGGTTTATGGCGAGCGACACACGGAGAGAACTCGTCGCCGGGCGGCTGCTGGGAAACACATTACGGGGCTGTCAGTTGTCTCGCCATGCATCCTGCATCATTCTTTAAGCACATGAGAAGTTCATTACACCACACAGCTCTGACAGTGCATCGGATATTAAGGGCTGTGTCTCCTCTGTACATTCTTGGTGGAAGTGTGGAAGGGCAGACATATCAGGGACCATATGCAAATAAGGCATTAAAGAGAGCAAAAAATGGCCGTATAAAGTTCAAAATAGGCATTCCGAAAGTTCTGATTTAATTTGCTTTGATAAAGTCATTTATTGTTATTCTAATTGCCTTAATGATAAAAAACAACTAGTGTGTAAATAGTATGTATAGTTTAAAATGATGTTGCAGCAACAGTTTCTCTGGGCTCCCACGTCCATGTCACATTACTTCTTGCTGACCAAAATCACCTTAAGATGCTCACACTGATTTGATTTACGATGCTTCACAACTACTAAAATTCAATTTCAGCCTACATTGCATGCTTCTGATTGCCCCGTAAATGAGATAAACTGATAGCAATTTATTCAAGGATCCCACCTCTCCTGTCTTTTCCTTTCCACTCCTCTCTCTCTTTCTTTCTCTCTCTCTTTCTCTCTTCTGTTACTTTAACAGGAGACACCCAAGACTTGGGTGAATCCAATATTTAAGCGATACGTCTGTATTCTGGTGCATTCAGCAGAACAGACAAGCTGGTGCTAATGGAAAACCTTGTGGAAAACAATGACATAGATAAAAAACAAAGTGCATGTTTGGTGATGTGAGAAATATTCAGATTGCTCGTCGACGTCCTCCTGAGAAAGTCCAGGAGTAAACAGATATGAAATATTCATTGATGTAGTTTGGAGATGTTTGATAATGCCAGCTGTCACTCAGTGAAGACATCTTGTATGACAGTAATTTTGCTAAGAGATGCACATTAAGAGCAGAGCAACGCCAAATAAAATTCACGTAAGGATGCTGTGAAATGTAGGATGCTTCTTTACATACTTACAGTTCTGCAGCTTATGATATACTGCCAACATATGAATGATGATGACACTTAATCCAGATTATCATCTCATGAGAAGTACTGGGCCCACTGTGACCAACACAACTGAAGTCGCCATCGTCACATCCCCACTCTAACAATAAAAGAAGCAGCACTCATCTCGCACCACTTATCTGATGCTGATGATGTTCCCTCTGTACAATAATGTGGCCAGCAGACCCATTCAGACTTTAAAGAGAAGCTGTCAGAGACCATGATAAAAAAGTGTAATGATTATTAATGCTAAGCCCCATTTAGGAGGCGTCAATGCCATTGTTGTTGTTATCCAGCGTATCAATCTTGTTGATTGATCATCCCGCTCTGGTGACATCAGTTTTATGGCCTCTGAAATGCGTCCCAGTGTTTTCACAATGCCATCCAATTAGGGCGCTCCATTCATCATTGGGCTGAGGAATCATTATTAATTGGGTGGAGAGCCGACTGCCACTCCCCTGCTGAGAAGGGCCACATTCACTATTCATACAGCAGTAAAATAAATGGGGGCTGTGAGGGTTAGCTGTGCAGGGGACCACATGGAGACACAAAACTAAATACCTTTATGTACATCAGACACTCTCAGTCAGAGTAGAGAAGATATGTGTCCTTATTTATCAAAAAATGACGAATGCAATTTCTGTTTAAAACGGCAACTTCAAAGTCAACGCGGGCGCAGATATAAAACCAAAAAATAAGCATCTCAAGCTTAGGAAATGAATCATTTCTGTAATTATGAGCCTCTGATATGTTTGAGAGCCTATGTTTGACATCAGTAGTAACAGTAAAAGTATCTTTTAAAGTAAATGAAAAAGTAAAGATGAATTTACAAGATAAAGAAGCCACTAATACAAATGTGTGTGACACGTACATTTTGAGATGTAACAAAGCTTTCTTTTCCATACCTTCGTTGCCTGTGGATAAGCCGTCTGGCTTTGTGATGCCCGTGCTCTTTTTCCGCCTGTGTTTCTTGCGGTTAGCGTGAGGCGAGGGAGGCGGCTCAAGTTTGGGACTCGTTGCACTGCCCATACTGGAATTTGCAGGATCGTTCATCCCATTGGCTGAAAGAATACAGACGTGGAAAGTTATATTTCTTTTCAACAGAAAATTAACTCAACTATGATCACCTGTCAAAGTTTAAAGAATAAACTGATGCCCACAAATGCTTGTTAAATCAGTTAATTATTCATCACGGTAATTGTTCTGAATATACACGGACAATGCTTCCTATTCAGTTTTGCTTGCCTGTGCGGTACTTTCCGTCAAATACATCAAAATCCAGTTGCATTTATGGATAAGACCAGAGCTATATACAATCAATATTCTGGAAATAAAATACTCAACATGCCTGTGCTCCAACAAGTCCACTCAGTATTTCTGTTTTTGGAACAGAAAACCTTAGTAGTCCACACCATAGAAATGACTGCCTGTCTGGAGGTAACTAACAGTATAACTGACCTTAAAAATGACAACAAATACATACTGAATAAGTTGTTTACAAAAGTTCAGTCTGATAATGAAAGAATGACAGTGGGAACAATGTGTTGGATAAGCGGTGAGAGATGGAGACAGATTTGAAAGTTATTCCTTTAAAGAGGAAACCGAGCCAGAGGTAATTGTATCTAGAAATAGCTACATTTTAAAGAGTGAGGAAACTGCATCTGTACATAGATTCATTCATCCTTGGCAAATGACTCTGGGTAATAATGATGGCTGAGATTAAAGCTTTGTGGACAGTAGAGGAAGACGTGTCACATACTAATAGTGTATCTACAGTAGGGGGAGTTGACAATAGCTCAAAAAGTAACTTCAGCTTTAGATGTTGTGAAGTGCAGGTACGGGGCTATCAGTGAACAAATGGATACCTACGCTAGCCTGCAGCAAAGCTCTCTATATGACTGTCTGAGAGTGACAGGGGGCTAAGAGCTGGCTTTGTTTCTTGTAAGTGATTTTATAAATGTGATATTAACCTGTGCTACCGTTGGGCAAAGGGACAGGAGGGATGGGACGATAGGAGGGGGCTGTCAGTTTGCCATCTTTCTGATTTCCTGACATTTGACATCACTTTCCCTTCTTTCCCCCTCCAGATGCCATTAAGAATTTGAGAGTGGGGGCCAGGGGCCTGGGGGAAGGAGGGAGGGTGGGCCAGTAGATGGGCCCCATATTGCTCTCTTCTTACCACCCTGTGTGGAGCTGGCAGCCTCTTCCATTGTCTCCCATCAAAAGCTCATTGTAGTGTGGCAAACTCCATTCATTTCCCTGTGCACCATCCCAGCCCCAGGGGTGGAGTGCAGGAGGACAAGGGGCTCAGGGATTATTGCTGTTGTTGTTGCCAGTTGCACTTGCTATAATGTGCGGCGCTGTGCCATTAGCCAGTGTACAACATTAGGCCTAATTCGGTCATTACCTTTAGGGAGATGGGGCTATCTTAGAGGAGTAAGATGGGCTCAGCAGGGGACTGAGGATGCTTACATGGGGGGAAGACTCAAACTCAGATAGCCTGGGGACGCACTGTTTGAGTACGGGAAAATGTAGGAGACAACACCTGAGACATATTATGTCCGTTCTCGACTTGAAAATGATCCCAACTGAGAGTGAATGAAAACATCAAGAATTACATTCATGGAGAAAATAAATAGTTTTTTAATTGATTTGACCTGTGCTAAAATGAACGTTCGGCTTAAATACTAATGTTTCTTGATAAATAACAAAGCAGAATACATCCCCTTGCATAAAAAGCCTAAGCTGTAGCCCGTATATTAAGCTCTCTGGTGCTTTGAATGGCAGAACGCAGCCACACATGTAGCAGCACCTCGTCGATGCGTCTGTTTCAATTTCCCTGCTCCCTTACAACAGCCCCCCTGAGACAAGTCATTAGCTGGCTCAGACAGCTGGGGGCACTGGGGTCCTCCATGTGCCCCCCCTCCTTTTCATCCTCCGATTCCTCCTCCCTCTCTATACCAGCGTCTGTCCCGTCAGCACGGCTCTGTATGGCGGGTGGAAGACGTGAGCTCCAACCTGCCTCCAAAGTGACAGCCAGCATTTGTTTAATGTCGCTTGAGGTTAAAGGGGAGGGCTGCCCCTCAGGGGCCCGAGCCATGTCATAAACACCTCTAATTATCAATTTCTACTCCTAATGTTGTGGAAAATGACCCCGTCCCTGCTCGGCCTGCACCTAAAAGGTGTACGGGGCAGTGCTCTGTTTGTATTAGGCTGCAAGGGGTCTGTGATGTAAAGGTAGAGAAACAGAGAACAGGACAACACATCACAAAGCAGCAACACAAAGGCATCTGGGACCCACAGGCTGTAAGAGCTTCTGTGCTCTAAATTGTGCCTGGCAACCAGTATAAATTTGTGAAGAAGGAAATTATGAAGTTCAAACTAAACGGCTTCAGAAAGTATGGAAATAACTGTGGTATTATTAGCTAGCTGTTAGCTTGTATGAGGGCCATCAGGACCAAGCTGGGTAATGAGGCACACTGGGGATCTCTTTACCACTCAGCCAAGATCACCTGGGCAGCAGAATAGGTATGAGCCTAACCTGTGATTACAGCGTAATATGCTCCCGCCATGGAAATGACAGTTTAAACCTGCTTCAGAATGACGGCTGTGGGTGAGACAAAGACGGCAGTGCTAACGGCCTCCTGCCTTCACCAGTGCCACACTGAGAATGAATGGGATTGAAAAAAGGGCGTGAGAGCCGGCAACCGGGAGGGGGGGGGAGTCATTTCATTGTTATTCAAGAGGCTCAAGGTAAGGAGCGCTATGATTCCGCCAGGCCCCTTGACATGGCAGCCCTGCCTGTCCTCAATCAAAGCCAACGGCTGCAATTAATGGCAAAAATTAGAAACAATCACCGCCTCCCCCTTATTATCCTCAATTAGAGCGTACTAATCAAGGCCTGATCGCGCTCTGCTGCTCTCTCCAAACTAAATGTCAAACTTCATTACGGCCTGGCGTAGAAATCAAACGCCCCACATGCTATCACCCTCACATCGGGAGGCCGACATAGAAAGCATCGTGCCACGGGAAAAAGCCTATCTGTGCATTAAGTACCTGTATGCTGATGTGCAAACTTGTAAAACAATGTGCACTCGTAAATGAATCACAGTGCAAAGTGGAGGTAAAGAAAGTGACAGCAACTTTTAATTCATTTTCAGTTGGCAATAAAGCAAACAATTTTCAAATAAAAACCAGGTGTTGAAAAATGTGGTCATATTGATCAAATAATCAATAATCAATAAACACTTAATATTCTGCAAATCAATCTTTTTCTCACATTGTTTTCAATTCACGCTGCTAAAAAGCAGTTTATGAGAATTAAGAAATTAATTAATTCCCAAACAGTTTAGTTTTATTATCCATTGTGTATTGTGTATTTTCTAATAAGTGTTTGGTGACAAACATCAACTTTGTTGCTGATCCTGGGGTTTGAAACCCTATATAATGTTTCAGCTGTAATCATTTTCAGATGGAATAATGCCATTACTTAGGCTTTGACCATAAGCAGTTATCAACTTCAATGAAGAAGCTGAAACAGCCACATGAGTAATACTATCATTACTGGTAGTATTCATTTTAATCCAGGTACAAAGATTGGGGAGCATGAAGGAGAGCACGATTTAAACAAGCATCCGGTGCATTAAGTATGGGTGCCTTTATAAATGCAAGCGATAAAAAAATTGGGCTGGGATTTAATCAAAACCGTACGCTCAATATTCAAGAGACGTTACTGCCTCTGCTTCTTCTTTTGCTCAGTAGGTTTACAAATGAGCGCATTCTTTAGATAATATGGAAATGGTTACCTGACTAAAATACATTCATTCTCTTGTGAATCATCAATCTGGTGTTTTTGCATCACATTTTGTGTTATAACCTGCAACCTTCACCAAGGATAATGGAGTGATTGGGCTTGGTTCAAGTCGATTCAAATGGATAACATGAGCAGCATTCACTGTGGAACACCCACTATTGATTATTGAAGACGTATTAGAATGAAAGGTAAGAGAGTAACATTTCAATCAAGTCTATGTTTGCTTATAGTCCAGTCACACTTTACACAAGAGTTGCATTCTGTTGCTCTCATTTAGACTGGCAAAAAAGGAAAAAAAACAAAAAACAAATCAAGATACTCAAACAAAGTTTCGAAGTTGTAAAGATGATGGTATCCGTTTAAAAATCTTTAACTGTCTGCACTGATTATGTACTGATTACAGAGACTTCTCTTCTTATAATACAATCTATCATTCGATGGGTTTCCACTATTTTTCTCAGCTCATTGGCCTTTTTCAAGCTCATTTGTGGTTACCTTAAAAGTAGCATGAAAATAATTGAAGAAAATAGAATAATGAAGCAAATTGTGAATCTGATTTAGTTGAAGACTGGAAGCTGGTTAATGAGCTGTGTTTATATTGAGGGCTTTTCAGTTTAAAAAAATATAAAGAGGAAATTGTGGCCTCCTAATTTCCTCGACTCAGTGTTCAGAAAGTCTGCTTTGTCCTCGGCTGTTTGTCTGCCGTTTCCACAAGCATCCATCAATGAAACCTTTTCTCCCACAGTCCCATTACAACACAGATGCAAACATGCTTTGTGGAAAAAGCTCACATACAAACAGCTGCAATAAGAAATTCAACAAGAACACACACACACACACACACACACACACACACACACACACAACACACACTTGCGCTCATTTATTTGAGGACCCCACGAATCTAAGTAATTCTGCTTTGGGCACGCTGCTGATGGGAGACGGGGGTAGGGGGTGATGGAAGTGCCCGCGTCCAGGCAGAATTGATCATTCGGCAGCTCCAAATGAGAGACAGGCTTGTCTGCGGAACCAAGAGGGCCGTGCAGTTGGACTCCAGCAGCGCTCGTAAAGTGCGCTCTTTAAACTGCCGGGGCCCCTGGGAGCCCATGGGGAGGGGGGGAGCCGCCGCCGTGCTAATGAGAACTACCAGAGTGCAAACATGCATGGAAATGACTGTTATTCTGTTGATGTGCATTTAAGTGCTTTTTTACTGCCAACCACAAAGAGAGGGAAATAACTGGTGATGAATGGTACCCCAGAAAAGCATTCATTTTCCTCTTCGGAAGAAAGGAGAGGAAAACAGAAGAGAGGGGAGACAGAGAGTAAGACGGAAGGTAAGACTTGATGGGTTGGGAGGGTGGGGGGGGGGGGGGGGGGGGGGAAGGGTTGTGTGGGGGGGGGGGGGGGGGGGGGGGGGGGGGGGCGACGTGGTGAATATATTATATGACTTCGCTCAAGTATAGTGACAAGGAGGCAATAAGTGGAGACGCATCAATGACAGAAAGTTAACCTTCACTGTTCCCCTCCTCTGAACATGCTGCTTCTATCAAAGAGCAGGAGCCAAAAAGGTCACAGTGATCACAGCTCTGATCACCTAATCATGAAAATGAGGCTTGGGTTCACCTTTCTCCAAAAAAAAGGAAAATAGGGAAATGGCAGATCTGCCACGGCACCCCTCTCGATCCCTTCTGCTTTAATCCTTTCTGGCTTTTGGGTGGGGATAATGAAGGTGAGGGACTCACGGGCTGTGCTGCTTGTACTGGTGTTGATGGCTTCATTCCACTGGTCAGCACTGGACACGGAGAAGGAGCGCTGGTGCATGCCGTCCTTACTGCCACCGAACACTGACCCGCCCGTCTGCAGAGACATGCTGCTGCTGGAGTGAGGAGCACCTAGAGAGGCAACGACAATAAAAAGAAAAATGAACCTTTCTGTACAGTTGTTTGAATTCTTTACTCAGCGCACCAAAACAATTTTTTGTCAAACTTAAACCAGTCTAACAGCAGTTGTATATAGTTTATGGAGGAGTGCAATACTGCTGCCTGCTTATTTTTGCATATATCTGTCATCTACCCGCCGCCCCCCCGCCTCCTCAGACAGACACACACAAAACCTTTTTTCCCTCCGCCTATGCCTCTAATTAGCCCTTAATTAACAAGATACACTCTGAACGCTAATTATCTCGCCTCATCCCTCTGACTGCCACATCGATCTCCACTGGCGTCAGCAGGCATTCTCTCCCTAACTCCCAATCAGGCGAGCCACGGACGCTTGGCTCTCTTTACTAATTCATGGTCTAGGCTGCGCCATGTGGGGTCCTTCCCTCCTGCTCGCGAGCAGTTGGTACGGCACATCCTAACTACTCTGACAAACTCATTGACATGCTTCATGTCATGCAAGTGCTTCTGATTAGCTGCCGAAGGTGGAAAACACACCGAGCCGCATGGCATTGGGTTGTATGCGGCCGAAAATTGGCTGCAAAAACAATATACATTGAAATAAATTAAACAAGTATGGTCTTAGTTAATGGTAAGGTTTTAGCAGAGGAAAAGGGTGATCGCTACAAGTTCCTATGGTAGCAGAAGTAAGCATGAAAAACCATCCAAAAACAAGGCAAATACAAAAAGCTCTCGCGCTCAAACGTCAAATTTCACAGGGTTCGTTTTGGAAAACAAGACATTTCTCTAATTTTTTTTAACAATGCTTTCTCATCTTACAGGTATCACATATCAGGGCCTTTTATTCCATAATTACGAGAGAATATCAGTTCCTGATTGAGGTGACAATAACAGAAAATATAGTGTGGCTCGTGTGTAAAGTAAACTAAGCGGCACGGGTGCTTGTTAGGATAATACGTCCTACTCATTATCTAGAGTAATAAGTGTATCAAATTCACATAATCATGTCTAATTAGTATCAGTAATTATCTTGTTGGGCCCAGGAATATTAATCTTCAGGTCCCAGAGGGGAGGGAGCAGAATCGCAGCAAGAATGGGAGACAGAGCGAGGGAATCATGCTGAGGAGCCCCGACTAAATTAGCATGGTGAAATCAGAGCAGAGGAGGAGGAGGAGTAGGAGGAGGAGGGAGGCACGGAGTGGAAGAATGGAAATAAAATGTGAAACTTTGCTTTGAAAAAGTGAGAGATGAATTATACATGAACTAAGAATATGACTTCTGTTCCAAAATAAAGATCTAATTGATTTTATTTCAATTGTATAAAAACAAATTACGAAAAGGTGCCTTGTAATAACACATTATGCCTTCATCTTCATTCAAGATTTGAAAATTAAACAGACAAACCGTCACCTTACCAACAAAACATAGGCCAAAGCAATTTCCTCCAATTAATTCATCTAGTTTTCAACAACTGATAGAGTGGAGTTTGACTCTTTGACACCTTAAAAACTGGAAGATAAAAAAGAGGAACATCATATAACTACAAGGCAACTTTGACTGATGCTTAAAATTCAACAATCACGTCTAATTGTCAAATTGGATGCTAATGATTAATGAATTATACATGGCTGTATCCATTATACCCCAGAGACCACTCCTGCATAAAGGGGAGGATAATGTAATTACAGTGGAGAAATAATCAGCTTGTGGCATTAAAAGAAAACTGAACTCGCAGCTCCAGCCAGACCTGAATGCATCGCACTTTGCACATTTATCAGAAACACGACGCTGGACTGACAACGATGACCACGATAACAGCAAACAGTTATGTTTCTATGAATAAACCATCTCTAGTCTATGAACCCATTCCGTTCAGCCTCTATGGAGGACGCATTAAAAACCTTTCAGCATTCATTCATGACATAAAGGCAGAGGTGTAAAATAGGTACCGGTAATAAAACAGTCGTATTATGATTTTTATTCAATTACGTCTATTGAGGTTTTTAATTAATTTCAAGTCAACTGCACTAATTGAACATCTGCATTTGATTTAGTAAATTACGAGTTGGGTTTGTTGGGTAAAGAGATGCAAGTACATAATTAGAAAGCGCAGTACCTTTGTGTGTATATGCGCTGAGTCTGCGGTGGCCTTCACTATCTATCATACCTTCCTTTATCTAAGCAAATTAAAAAATTAAAAAATATAGCGGACAATTATTTGGTGTGTTTTGCTACATTCACACATATCTGTTGATACATCACGGGTAGGATCATTTAGATTTGTCACTACATTTTAGTTCACTGATTGGTGTCTTTTCATTAGAGTTGCTTAAGAGTTGCTTTAAAATCAACTCTGATCCACTGTTTTATCTATATGTCATTCTATCTTCAAATTAGGCTCAAAACAAACAGATGTTATGACTTTCAGTCAAACAATCCAAAATAAAATAGTACAGTTGCGAAAAATGTCTACTATATTTACTCATATTATATTTATCAGTTCATTTTTTACATTTTGGATCAGCAGTAATCATGGTCTAATGAGACATTAATTCATGAGACTGAAGGCAGTCATTGTGCTACACAATAATACTTTTCCAGTTTTACTTCATCTGATGCTTATGCAAGAAACAATTCTACTGTCAAAAGGTTCTACTAAATGCCTATTTTACAACTTTTTGATGACTAAAATCTCTGAATAATTTTACATAGTACTGTTGCAACATACATTACCATTTCATTATGAAAGTTGTTGCATATTTAACTCTTTTTCATTTCCTTAAGACACTAATGAACTCTTCAAAGAAGTAAATCCCACTGCGGATTGTATTATCATGTGTATAAAGAGGTAGAGAAAAACCATATCATGTCCACTGCAGGCTATATGGTGCTGGGGTGTTAAGTGGAGGCGATGGATTAGCAGGGAGCAGCTCTGCCTTGCTCCTCATTTCTCTTTAGGCCGGGCCGTCAGTGGGCTGATGAGCCGTGACGAGGCCTGACCCCTCCGTGGAGTTGTTGCCATTATGTACAAGTAGTGAGATAATGAAGCATCCATGCTAATGTGGGCCGGCAACACATCATCTGCAGCTGTGTAATCCGCCGCCATCATCAGGACCCATGCCCAGATGTCCCCCCTCCACCTCTCATTCTCCTACAGCCGATGGCCCAATCACCAGTCACTTAAAACATTTGTACTCACATTTATGCAGCATAATGGCTCCCCACAAACTGTATGCTGCGCCTCAATTTCCACTTTAAGCCTTATGCGAGGAACATAAATTATTTTTCAAAAAAAGAAAGTTGAAGCTGTTTTGAGACAGTATTCAGACGGCTCCAGACTAAAAGCTGTCTGGATAAATCCTATTTTATTACAAATCAATTAATACGTTTGGAAAGCAACATCTGGTGCTGATAAACAGATGCTTTAGGAGTGGAAAGAACAGGCCAGGCCAGATTATGCTAATGTTGACACAAAAGTCTGATATTGCAGAAGACAGGGCTTCCTATTTATCTGCTGTGCGGCTGTTTGGTTATTCAGGGTGATGTGAAATGGAGAATTAAAAAGTGGTTTATGGTCAAAAGGAGCTCAAGCCCTGAATGTGCCACCTCCTCCTTATGGAAAGTGAGTCTCTCTCTCTCTGCCACAGGATGGATTAGAAGTGACTGGGCCCATTAATACTTTGATACAGTGTATCTGTCGCCGGTGACACGGCAGGACGCATGTTAACAGGGAGGATCATATTTAAAATGGTTCCGCTCAGCACCCACCAAAAGAATTAAACCTGGCCGCTTGACAAACTCGCAGGCGCATGCGTTCTCACATTTACTCTGTGTCTTCTCAACCTCTCTTCTTCATCTTCCCATCACCCCCATCCACTCCGCCCCTCCTGCTCTCTGTCGCTATCCCTCTTCTCCCAGTGATTATAAAGGTCTTTAGATCTAAGGAATGAATGAATTACCAAAGGCAAAGACAAGGCTTGTGATTTAGACACAGTGAATGAAAAATTACCCCTTTGTTCCCTCCATCAATTGCATGTCTAATGAAATCAAAATCCCGATCGCATAATCAGAAGAGGGTCCTCCACCCTGAGGGAGACCTGATGTGATTTGTAACCTTTCTTTTCCTAAGTGGAGATTACGGCAAATCTCTCTCACATTGTTCCTTGATGCAGAAATGGATGACAACTCAAAATCTTGGGAATTTGTCACTAAGGAGTTCTTTCAAAGAAACAAACATACTTGGTTTTTGAAAAAAGGGAAAGAATAGCAAAGGACAAAAAGAAACAACCTTGTTCAGTTTTCTATAAATCTGGGCTTTTCATACTGGATACATCCAGCTCTTACGTTTACCCTCCACCCAAAACACAAGGTTACCTCTTTGTGGGTTGAAATAACCTTATTCTAATGTCCTGAGCTCTGTAAACTCCTACATCTTTCTGCCTTTGACTGATTAACTAGTTCAGCAGCAGTAGCCCCTTGACCACGGACAGCGTTAACCTGCCTGGTTGGTTTCTAACAGTCCCCGCTGATCTGTCTTTGGCAAGAAATCCAATCTCAGCTGGTTAGTTTTAGCCAGAATGTTGGAAACACTGTGCCCGTTTCACAGCTAAAGAGGGACCCCGCCTCCCTCTGGGGACCGCTTCGCTAATTAGTATTAATTACTCTTAATCCTAACCCCTAAATCCAATCATTGGCTTTCCCACCATACGCCTATCAAACTCTCAAGAGCCTCTGGCAGCATGCTGGGAGAATAGTTCTATTTTTAATCCTGAAAGGTGTTCAAACCCCGGCATGATGCTGCTGTGTTCCTGCTAAAACATAGGATGAAAACTAACGAGGTCACATTGACCTAAAAGACCCTTGCTTTTGTTCACTCCTTACACATGGCCTGATGCTTAATTGTAATTTCAATTCCCAGTTTAGTAATCTAAAGAATTAATAGTCATACATGGTCATTAAGTCATCATCAAATCAACTTCCTTCTTTTACACAAAGTAGCTAATTTGCATGAATGAAACATGGAAAATGTCGATAATTAACCTATTGAGGGCAATTTATATGATTAATCACAAACAGATGACAGCAAAGAAATACTACAGTAATAAAAGAATAATTGGGAATCCACCGTAAGTGCGATTCGCTCTTTCTTTAGACGGCTGATATGTGTACAATGTTCTTTCTTCAATGTTGGGAAGGGTCTACCGGCAAATTAGCCTGGTTTTTATGTCTATAAATAACCAAGAAATTAAGGAAGGCAATATCTAAAATTGCCTAAATGTCAGAACACACGTATATAATGGTCCTTTTTTCTACGTACAGACTGTTTTTGGACTGTAGCCTTTGGGCAGTTTTCGAAAAAACAATAAATTTGTGCCAGACTATAATGAATGTGTCTATTTGTGCTGTAGAGTCTAACTCTTCAATTCCTGCTTGTCGTTCAGTATAACTTTATTAGTATTAGTTATGCAGGTTCAGGTGTCTATGTAGAGGGCCCAACAGGTCCCTCTGAGCTGACCATGCACAGAAAAGGCAACAGATCTATGAAGTTCCTCTGAACAAAACCTTCAGAACACATGAGGGTCCTGCAATTCCCTGTCACTGAGGGATTATGGCTGTGGGTGCCCTGAGTTTATTCATAATGTATGCTTTGAATTCAAACCACAAACTTTCTCCACGGAGGAATCTTTATGTTCTGGGTATAATAGTGAGAACTATGGACTCAATTTAAGAAAATTGTCATTACCATTCAGTCTAACACAATAAAAACAATAACTCACTCTCCAATTCCCAAATAAGTCCCCTAACTTGGTGTCCTGCATGTGGACATGGTTCGGTCATTTATTCCCAACTCCAACAAAGTCTCAATCCCACTTAGCCGATATACTCTGTTGAGCCAAAGGTCTAAAACTAAGCATTTCAAATTGGAGTGCATAACGCCTCAGAAGTCACAGCAATATTACTTAGCCTTTCTCCTGATATATTTCGCAACACATAAATAAGCGATCAAATGTGTCTGGAATTCCAACCTGTGTTTCCTATGCCCAGCTGCAGGGTGCTGCGGTCCTTGGTCAGCCCGTTGGTTTTGGGACTGGCGGTGGGAGCCACGGTCGCCACCGCCCTGGGAGGTCGCTTCCCAGGCACCTTGACTGTTGTCCTCAGCAGGTCTATCTCTTTTCCATGCACATTCTGCATGTAGTCCTGTAGTGTCAAACAAAAAGGAAAGAAAAGAAAAAAAGAGGAGATGACGGGACTAATAAATATAAAAAATTGAGCATCCAAATATCTCTGTCGTGTCCAATACTTGATTACATGCAGTGGAACAGGAAGACTCCAGGAATTACAGAGGAAAAACTAATTCAGATACTATTCAAGTTCCATCCCCATTAGTCACAACACATAGTAGACCTTCCACTAAGGCTGTGCAATAGTGGAAAAATGATTGTAAAGCCATTATACATCACCTGTGCCCACGCCGTCTATCCAAATAGCGGGATGTTAGGCTTAATGAATGCAAACTGTCTCACTCTCTTTCAATTTGCCCATTTGATTTGGTTTAAAGCGACTACCGCCCAAATGTGGGAAGCCAAGGTGAAAATCATTGGGATCAGCAGAAAAAAGACCCAGACAGAGGCGAGCTCGGCCTTTGCTGTCCCCCCACTGGCTCCTCTGCTTTATTACCATGTCATAAAGCACTCATTTCTTTCCCAAGCCTCTACGCTAATTACCCAGTGAGCGCTCTCATTTCATTTTATTGCTGGAATTAACAGCCAGATCGAAGCGTGCAAAGCTATTAAGATGTGTGATTAAGCCACATTCAATTAGTTTCTACAAACAATTTAATTGATGTAGCAGATAGAATTAACAGAAGGTGATTGTGTGGATGGCTTGGCTGACTGCGAAATTAAAGAATCCGCTCTTCCACTCTCTTGCTGCCTCCCTCCTTTTCCTTTCTTACTCCTTTTTCTCTGCTCCACGGCTCAAAATGAGGTTGAGCTGTTACCCAGCTAATGTAACTGTCTGCCTTATTTCACCTCACTCTGTAAGTCAACAGATCCATAGATTTCATAGATTGCCCAGATGACCTGTAATAGCTGTAATGATTAGGAGATAGCCTGTTCAGTCAATTACATACATCACCATAGACCAGCACTGCTCTACTAATAACTGCCTGTAAATTAAACCACTAACACACTGTCAGAGCAACAAGGTCCAGCACAGATTTTCATGTCTAGTTGCTGGATGGGGTTTCAAAGTTTGAGCGGTTTCATTAGACACCAAGATGTTGCCAGTTTTCTTTCAATTTGTGTGGCCGAAAGATCTAAGCATAGAAAACCTGAGACTGACAGAATCAGAGTGATGGGGGAATCGTAGGGGCATCTCTGAGTGCGGCACCGGGCTCCTGAGCTGTCTGCTGCCAGCCAGCCGAGTGTTTAAGAGGTATTAGCAACCCAGCGGGATCCTGACAAAGATGGATGTGGGAGGCTGGTCAGGCTCTGCTGCCATGCGGTGAGAACCATTATAAATACAAGCCAGCGTGGAGTCCGGGCACGGCGGGCAAGCAGCAGCACAGCCATATCTCCATTAGCTAGCACCATGGATGGGAACCACAGGGGGGAGGAAGATGACCACTAGGATACTCTGTTTTTAAAACTAAGCCAAAAGTGCCAGGGTTGGCTAATATAGACCGTATAAGCAGCAGACTGTCTCTGTAGACATTGCCCGTATACATTTGTAATTCATTCCCTACAGCAAGGCCACAAAGTGTAATTGCACCATGAGAATTGTGCTCAGCGGTTGAAAAAGTTCCACGTTAGGACCTCAAACCGCCCCCTTGAGAACGGACAGAAGTGTAACAAACCCATGATGCAGACTGGAAAAAGAAGAGAGGAGAAAAAAAAGAGGAGGACTGGAAACTCACATGTAAACTGGGGTGGTAAGTGAGGACGCCATTATCGCACAGCGTGACATATTTCTTTTTCCATTCCTTGTTGAGGGATTTGCCACTTCGCTTCAGAAGGATTCCCTGTAAAAGACGAAGGATCACGGTGAGCACGCGCTCTTATAGAAGCGGCATGGTGGATACAATGAGTGATTAAGGGTTTTAAATACCATAAAACAGTGTTATTATTGTTACTGCAGATATGTTGTGGCGGTTACATGGAGCAGATTCTTCGTGCTCCATTACAAAGCATGACCACATAATTTGAAAACGCAATTAGGAGACACCATTCAAATATTTAAGAATATACATTTGTTGTCGCCATTAATCTTTTAAATGCCATTTTAAATACTTCTATTAAATACCAGTTTAACAGTTGATGGGTTTAATAAAAATGAATTTTTGAACGATCATACAAAGTTAGCAAAGTTTCTGCGCAAAGAAACAATTCATTAAGAAAGGCAATCCAATTTGCCAGACCTCCTCCCTGCATTCATACACATTACATGCTGAACTCTGAAGGACCCCTCAATCCTGGGATTAGAGAGTGTGATCTCCCTTCTTCAAAGCCCACTCAGCTCTTTTTCTATTCTGCTTTATCTTCTGGGGCCTTTTAAGGCCTCAGATGGTTCCCTTATCTGTTGAGTAAATCCACTGGTAAACAATGCAGTTCCTCTGCTGGAGGTGACCAAACGCTGCTGAGTGCAAGGGCCAGGAGGCTCTCCGGGGTTAAACAGTAAGGAGGGGCCCGCTTAATTAGGGGATTAAACCGGGGAAATGTTTGTGCTTTTACAGCCAGGGCCTGTGTGTGTGTATGTGAGCTGAAAAGAAGGGTCAAAGGGGTAGTGTTTTCGCTAGTCCGGACCATCCTGCAGGCTTTAATCCTGATTAACACATCAGGAAGGGCTGACCCTCGGTGACCTGGGCACCAGGCTGTTTGCCGACAATCATTCTAATCCAAACCCTGATTCATCTCGGCTACATGCTGGGATTTAAGACTGCGGCCGTCATATCTTATCAATATATCTGACTGTTTGCAAATTCTTGTGAACACCAATTTTTGTGTTGCCGTCAAGCAAATTGTTTGTGAAATTTGATGGGAAAAATCTATACTATTAGTTTTAGGGCAAACAAACTACACCGCTAAGTCAAAAAATAGCAAAACATGCTATATAGGCATCGGCAGTATGAAAAAAGACAAAAGTGGATTTTTTTTCTTATTTTCTTCCCCCAATTTAGTGTAATTATTATTTCACATTAGTTGTTATTGGGCTTGTTCATAACATAGAAACAGACTAAACTGATTATTCATGTGTTCAGTCTTGTGATGGATATCACTTTGTCTGAGGCTTTTTGCAAAAGTGGTTCCATCACCGCTCACACACATCGACTGTCTCTATAAACGTTTTAAGTGAAAACATCTCTTCAAAAATTGAGGAACTTTCATTTTGCCTTATGACATTTCCATCAACGTTTCCAATCTAGATACCTCAAAAAGTTACAGACCAATTCAAAAGGAGCTAAATTCAAATTACAGAGGAAAAAACAAGCTAAATGTGTCAGTGAGGATGCAGAGAAGATTTGAAAAGCTGCTAAATTTTGTGCTTGGAGAAAGAGATTAAATAACAAATATATTTTAACAAGTTTTATTATTCTTATTTATATACTATGAAAAAACTAAATAGTTGTAATTTTCAGAATTTTAGTAAAGGTCTTTGAAACAACTAATCATTTGGATGATTTTTCAGGACGCAATATTTTGTCGTTTGACTGATAATTTGCCAACTACAGAGACTCATCACAATTTAATCAATAAAAGAACTGTAAACACTTATAAAATGGCTTTCTAATCATACAAAGTAAATGATCCATTCAAATGGCCCCTGGCAACTTCATAATACATGTTTTACAAGCAAATTTTGTTGCTCATCTCGAAGTCTTGCTGAAGCATGCACAAATCTATACTCGCAATCAGAGTGGTGCTTTATAATATTTATCAGAGCAGTGGTGTTGATCAATACACAGCTAAGACAATATTATGTGAAAATCAACTCTGTTTTATTCCGACACTCACTCATTATGACCGCTACACATGTCATTCATAAAGCAGGTCTTATGACTGAGACCGTCCATAATAATAGCCCAGTTGTTTGCAGCAGTAATTTACGCATTGTGGTATATCTGTGATAAATTACTATAAAAAGACAACAAGTCAGGCATCCTGTGCTTCTTCTAAACAGACATACATACACACACACACACACACACAAAGACAGAGATGAGGTTCCACGCCTGTGTGACAGAAAGAAACAGGCCCATCATCAGGGCCGCTCTGTGTGTCCTCACAATTGTCATATCTCCACAGAGGAGATAGTGTCTTTCCCTTCTTTTGTCGTGCGGCCAGGAGAGAAGCTGCATCCTGCCACTGTGGCTGACTGATAGGTCTGTTCTTTGTGAAACCCCAAGGGAGAAGGGGGTGGGGGGGGCGGTAAGAGTTGTGCTTTGGTGTGAGTGCGTGTGTTGGGATGGGGCAGGGGGTCTGTGATGGGGCAAGAATGTTGCCCAAAAGCTGTTAGCAGTGAGTGCATTGTTTTCCTCGCTCAGTATTTTTATAGATGTGAAGCCAAAAGAGTGGGGGGAGGGAGACACAACGGGTAATTTGGGGTGAGGGGTTAGCAGTAATTAAGCCCATATTGATACTCTGATCCCCTTGATTGTGCATTTGACTTGCAAGTATACCGACCAGTTACGGCCCACTTCTGCAGCAGAACTGCCCCCTTCAAAGTAAAAAGTCCTCTGTAGATAAAGACAAAGTGTGACGGTGTGGGGGGGGGGGTCGCTAACGCATTGGATAAGAACGCAGAATTTACAGTAAAGATTGCTGAAAAGCTGCAATGTGCAGAACATATAGACACACTCAGATATTCAAAGCTGTGCAGGGAATTATACCTGTCTGCAAAAAAGAAGGGGAACTTTAACTACATTAGTTAAAATCTAGTGTTTGGACTATTTTTGCATCGCTTTCATTTTTAAGGAAGTCATTTATTTATTTTTTGCAATTCACCAGCAACTCTGCATCAATTGCAATTTGATTTAAATATTAAATTTCATGCTAAAGAAATGTTTTTCTTTCATTTTCAGTGCCATCAGATGCCCACCGTTCCACACAGACGTGTTATCTGACAGATATTGTATCCGTTACAAATATAAAGAGATATTTCTGATTGAGCGAGGCAGTTCGAAAGCATCAACCTGCCATTATTTTCAGCTGGACCGAAGCCTCTGCAATTTTCTTCCAAAGGGAATGAGGAGGTCTGGCTCAACAATTTCAAAAGAAGGGCATTATCTTCTCTCATCTGCAGGTAAAGAGGATAATACGAGGATACTGACCCATTGTGAAAAGCTCTCATATAATCATGAGTGATTACTAATCAATGCGTCCGTTACTTCTCCTCGGGTTTCAGATGGACGTTTACAAATTATCCTGACTCAGGTGTTTTGTTCAGTTTTCACTGTTACAGATATGTTCTTATTTACTGCCAAGTGAAAAAAATATAAAGACAACTATATTAAGGGAATTAACAAAAAACAGTTTTCTGTAAAAAAATAAAATAAATAAAAACAAAGCAGCACATGCATAATCGTGTCAATTTGAAAATCTAATGAAATGTTCAAATTCTGACTGCAAATTGATTATGTGGATATGCGTGAGTAATCTTTAATATTAAATTTTCTACACACATCATTCTAAAATAAACATTTTATCTACTGAAGGTGAAATCGTTCAATTAAATGTAGGAAACTTTGAAAGTTAATTACTGGAATGTGAGTAAAATTTTGAAAATATAAAAAAATCAATGCAAAGGCTATTAATTAAATACAATTTTTGACTAACAACAAACTGACAACAGACTCATCAACCACATAAAATGTTTTATATTGTTATTACCAGTGTGTTATAATCAATAGTACTTTTACTATTGATAATAAATTAAATTAAACCAGTTAGTTTCCTTTGATGGTCAGTTTAGCAAAAATGCTTCATTTGATCATACTTAAAAAAATCTTTAAAAACAAAGCTTAATGTGCTTGTATCTAATACACGTCTACATAAGCCTGGATTATTTACTAGACAAGTGTATATTTTACACAAGTTTGGCATAGTTTGATATCAGCATCTGGTACGGTTGCAGCAAAATGGCATTTGGTATGTTTTGTCGCCATCTAGTGGTCATTTTCACACATAACTCTCATCTTATTGTTTTTTTTTCGTAGCACAAAGTTAAAAAGAGCATCAGCTGAAACCAAAAAGGCATCATACTTACCGTGGGAATTATGGGAAATGTAAAAGGGGAAAAAAAACATTAAACTGCTCACCTGTTTGATTGGTATGGCCCTTCCACTGCCTATGCTGTCTGTTTTACTGTCAACGCTCTTTGCCTGTTCACTGGCTTTCCGTGACTGCAAGAGAACAAGAGAGTCAGTCAGAAAATGAAGCGACGTGCTGAAGACAAGGCAGAGTGGGAGCTGTGGGGTGCGAGGTGGGTGGAGTTGGGTTTGATGGGGCGCGTGTGGGTGACACAGATAGAGTGGGGGTCAGGGGCGGGCAGGTGAGGGCATTTGTGTTCAGATCATCTTCAGTATTTTGTGGAGAAACGCGGCGTTGCAAAACAAAAGTCTCAAAAGAAGCTCCAAATGAACAGACAAGCAGACCAGCGGAACAAACAGCGGTAACACCAACGTGCAAGTTAAAAGAAAGATTTTTTCTTCAAAATAAAGAAATAATTCAAATAAAACAAAAACAAGACCACACTAGACACATCTCAACACATAGGAGACCAAGGACGACCACACATTGAGTCATGACTCAGCCCTGAAACTTTTTGGGAGATCCTTTCCTTTGTTTGAGACCCAGACCGGGTCCTTAGTGGACCTGCAGACCAACTGCTGCGCTACCCAGTGAAGGGGCAGCTCTGCTTTTTGCATATTGACATTCATAAAGGTTGTAGTAGCATGATAAATGTATCAGGTTAGACAGGAGAAAAAGGAAAAATCGTTATAGCACTGAGGAATTTGGTGCTGGTAGGTTCCGCCAACATTTTACCTGTGAAACCTGGTAGGACAAAAAATCAATTTGCAAATTCAAGAAATTCAGCATTGTAAATCAACCCAAAAAAAAGAAGGGGAAAATAAAATTTAGTTAAACCTGCAGAAGGGAAAATGGTTAGACAATGATTACAACTTTACACAGAATATAATTCATATTCTCAAAACCTTCCCACCCCAACACAAATAAAGAAATGAAGTACAGTTAGGGACAGACATGAATGTGTATGGGCTCACTCAGAACATGAGAAATGTCCAATCACCAATGGAGAAGAGGTAGAGTCTGAGTTCAAGTAAACCAACTCTGGTGTTCATATGTTTTCCAACATTTTATTTTTTATGATGACTTGTTTAGCTTCTATACAGACACCATACAAAGCAAGTCACAAATTCACTTCAAAATATTCAACAGATTGAGCCAAACATTGCAGTTCCCACAAAATATAGGATGAACAATAAAAGGCATTATTTCATATATTCCTTATATGTATGTACTTTTTATAGAGTACCATTGTAAATAAAATACAATACAAGATATACAGCAGTCTATTTTTTGTGTCAATCCGTTCATGATAGAAAAGCGATTATGCAAGAGTTCATAATCTCTGTAACAAACCTGAACTGAAAGTTAAAAAAAAAGAAAAAAGAAAATAAATTAAGGTGCAAACTTAAATTAAAATAGGAGAAAAAAAATAATACCTTAAACTACATTCATACAAGTCGGTGCAACCCAGTTTCATTTGTTGGCAACTTTCAATATAATATCACTCTGTAATACCTCAGTCTGACCATCTACACTAATTTTTATGAAGGCCTTCATAAAATTTCCCAAAGATATTCTAATCTAAAATACCTCTGTGTGATCATACATTTTTACAACATTTTCCATTCCAAACAAGCATTCAATACGCCCTGGAAACATTAAGGAATCAAATGAAAAACGGACCAAAAGAAGGAAGAACCAAAAACAACTTGGCACCTATAGTTCTTGAGTCCTCATTTATGGAAAAAAGGCAGTGTGATGTCATGTAAGGAAAGGTTGTATCCTTTTGGTGGTTGGGTAACAGTTCCAAGAGTGACTTGACTGTACAGCATGTTTTTGTATGGCATGTCTGAATGTGAGCAAAAAAGGGGAGCAGGGCAGAGGGGGGTTGGACGGGGCATTTCCAGAAGAGTCCCTACAGTCTGTCTCTCTTGGAGATAACTGACAGTCTACTTTGAGTGCACTCAAACACTCCAATGGATTCAACTTTAGGCTGCGTTACACGCAAAGTCCTATGGTTTCCACATGCATTACCCTAAATGGCATAAAGCACTTAGGGTTTAATAGTAACAGGCTGTTAAGTCCTCAACCAACAATCTCTTTTCTATCAGGATTGGCAAAGCAGGGGGACTCTTTATTTCTAACCATCATGCTCTTCTAATTCGGAAGGAGTTGGAAAGCCCTTTTTGTTGAAGAAAGGTTGGAAACAGAAGCACAAATCTGCAAATATTAAAAAAGAATGTCAAATGGTTATTTTTCTTTATATAGTCGTATTATTTATGTTTCATCTCACAGGTGGAGATCCAGCAACAAGTTAAGGGACTTAAATATGAAATGGGAAACACTAAATGGCAGACATTTATAAATGAGTTGAATTATTATGAACTAATGGTTTGGGATGGATTTAGGTATAAAAGAATGCCATAATATCTAAATTTCTAACACCAAGAGGGACAGACAGTCTCAAAACGACATGAGACCATGGGACAGGATATAAAACAGATTGTTCAGAGATATTGACCATGGAAGCTCTAGGAAAGAATAATGTGTGCTGCGCTGACACCTAGTGGCAGAGTACAGTTAAGGTCAAAACTGGCTTGAAATGGTTGTGGTTGGTGAAGCTGATTTGTGAAGGCGTGAAAAGATGAAGTGAGGATATTTCCGGATGTAAAGCTTTGACTTTTGATTTCTTTCTTAAATACTAACCTTTGCTTTTAATTCAAGTTTGAAATAATCATCAAAATTAATTTCTAGTCCAGAAGGGGGCTTTTGTAGCGTCTGACCGTTTTCGAGCCAGATCAAAGTTTGAACAACAATCTGGTCTCAGAACCTCTTTGCTTACACTCTGCTCTTTGCATTTTACTAAGTTCTTAGTTTTCTCAAAGGATGCATCTTTATTTCAAGAGTCCCAATGCCAGTGCCATGAATGTGATATACCTTTACCTCAGATTTACAGCTAGACTACATACTGAAGTGATGACTGTACGACAATCTGATATTGATCAGTCAGAGTTTTATCTCCCAATGACTTTAAGGCATTTTTTCCCCTTTCTTTGAATACTTCTCTCTGAAATTTCCAAATCAACGCGAAGCAAACTACTCACAAGCGTGAAGGCTGACAACATGAATGGCACCTGTGATCTCTCAGTGGCTCGCCGGACTTTTATCTATCATTTTTAAAAACAGAAAAACTAGGAGCGGGGACATCTTCGACACAGGTGTTTGGATGGAACATTATCTCTTTCTGTTATTTGGTAAAATGGCAAAAAAAAGGTTTCGCACTGTAAGTCTTCCTCTCCTGAGCCCACTGCACTCTTCCAAGTGTCACTGAAGAAAATGTCGACATCGCCCAGTTTAACTTTCCGTCTTCCTCCTCCTCCTCCTCCTCCTCCTCCTCCCCCCCTCTCCCTCCCCCTTCCCACCCTTGGCTTGTTGCTCCTCAGAAGGTCATGAGCTGAAACTCCCGCTCGGCTTGCCACTCTGGCACCCACACCGGGTAGGTGGCGTGCTTCGGCATCTCCATGACGCGGACGGGGAGAGGCTCATTTCTCTGGTGGACATGGTTAGTCACTACCTAGCAGGGGGAAGGGAGACAACAAGGGGGAACTAGCACACAGCCTGTACTGCTAAGAGGCCACAGAACCTGCGGCTCCCACAGCAGCCGGGGTAAAAGGATGAGGACAGCAGGAGAAATATAGGAAGGAGGGGGGGGGGGGATTGATAGGGAGGATGGCAAAAGAGTTACAAGGAGAACGAGAGAAGCAGAAAGAAGGCGGCAGGAGAGATACAGCAAACAAGGGTTTGGAAAAAGAAAGCAGGTTGGCGAGAGAGGAATTTTTTTTTTTAGAGGTGAAAGCAAAGACTAGATGTACAAGGGGAGTTAAAAGAGAAGAAATCTCATGTAGCCTGGTCTGCGTCTCATAAAGGCTTCAAATTCTGTATGAAACAAATTAAAACTGCTTTTTATTCCAGGAATTTGACAACCTGTTGTAGGTTTCCTATATGGAATCCTATATCGAAAATTGCTAATGTTAACATAATAATTTCTAGCTCTTACAAACCCTCCAGTGCCTGGGGAGGCTCAGAACTGGCTAAACAAGACTGGGAAAGGCTTAATAGCAAAGAAGGAGACTGGAAGAGAGAGGGATATGAGAGAAGGAAAGAGGGAATAGGGCTGGGTAGAAAAAAGAGGGCAGAGGCTACGAGTAAAAGACAAGCTCAGGACAGCAAAGGGAATTAGAGTGGTTAGTGCACACATACGCTACTAATCAGAGCAAAGGGCAAATGTGACAGGACACGGGGTAAAGAGCAGGCAGACGAGGGTTGGGATACTGGTTGTGGCAGTTAAACTTGAATAGAATATGAGCCCGAATGAAAGTATGTTCTGTGAGGACTGGGGAGCGATCTAGATATAGCGAGACGATCAGTGGGCAGTTGTGGAGGACAGCGGGCATGCGTTATTCGCAGCATGTAAACAGGCCAAAGGTTGGCTTGGCTTTCAGTTTATCTTGGCGGGGCAGGAGAATTGGTGGTTTGTTGCTGCCGTCTCTTCCCAAAAGGGAAGTCACTGCAAAGAAAGGATCTAGCAAAAAATAAGAGGGATGGGGGATGGAAGGTCAAAGATTTAGACAACTCAGAGGGCCCAGTTTGTTATGGGTAAGATGAGAAACTCAGTCCACTCACTACATCCAATTAGAAAAAAAAGAAAAGAAAGAAAAGCTGATGGGTTTTTTTGTTTGTTCTTATTTCCACAGTGCTTATCTTTGATATTTGCTTCAAGGTTGAATTTTTTTAGGGCATTTCACTGATCTAATATGAGACCTATTAAGTCTTTTTTTTCTCCTCCGCCCCGTTGATTTGCGTGAACAAGGCGTCGTCTTTGCCAGCATCGTAGGCAAGGAGAGGTGGCTTTGATGCGTTATGAGCGACCTGTCTCCCTCTGGTGGAAAAAGTGTGCTTGGCAACATGCCTTCTAGTAGTGCGAGTGGGCGTTGCTTTGCATCAGCTGTCGCATACTTACTGTGAAAATGTTGGAGCGGCGCTTGGATTGCTTGCGGATGGGCGTGGGCGTGTTGGAGGCAGCAATGGTCTCAATGCGCATCTCCCGCTGACTTATGCTGGGGGTGGAGGGAACAGAGGAGGAGTAGTCGCTGAACGCACCCCCACCATTGGCCGCCTGGGGAGCAAAGGAGATTAAGAGGAACCGACAGAATCGGAGGAGAGGAGGAGAGAGGGAATCGTGAAGAACAGGAAAGGAAAACGTCAGATCAGGAGGATGTGATGTGGACATGATTTTCCCACACTCAAAATGTGAGCAATCTTCGTGAGAGCAGTTACATAAAGGATGTTTTTTTTTTTTTTTGGTTGGCTGTTTTTTTTTTTAGACTTCGCTAATTACAACAGAGTGTAGTTTATCAGTAAGCTGTAAGGATCTTACCTGGTTAATATGAACAGAGGGGATAGAGGCAGCAGGGACTGATGAGTGGCTGGGAGAGTTAGGGAGGGATTTGCATGGACCAATAGAGAGCTGCTGCTTTTTCCTCATGGCCACAACCTTCTGCGCAACTGGGGACAAAAACACAGTAACAGACAGTTCACTGAGGATGTATGCAGAAACTGTAAAAGCTAGAATCCTACTGACAATTAGTTTATATGCACTGTTAATCAGAATGCACTATTATCTGATTTTTTCATTGAATAACATGAATATCCTGTTTGGGTTTTTTTTTACCATCCAATCAGTAAAATCAGTTTTAATTACACAGGAAATATTCCCACTTGAATGTGCGACTACATACACTCTGAACTAATCTTGAACAAAAAATTAATACATCAAGATTAACAGGGGAAATGTATGTTTTGTGAGTATTGTTCGAAAAACAAATCTGATTTTAAAAAATCCCTATTAAAATCCCTTCAGACATCTTGCTGACTTTTTAGCCAAAATGACAGAACAATGGTTAAAACAACAAGCCGTTATTTTTTAAGTAATGTAGTTGTCCTTGGACTGTCCCTTGGACTGTCCCTTGGACTGTCTTGGGTCCTTACTGATGAATGTACATTTGGGAATACAGAAATTAGTAATAAGGTTTCTAAATAGTCTAATTTTACCAGTACTGCACAGGCAGACCTGAGACGATAAACACTGACGTGTATATTTGCATCTTTGAGACTTTTACCTGTAAGCAAAAAAAAAGAAAAACAGCTGACTGGTGAGATTTACAGAAAACACTGTAACCTGCTCAGAGGAATATTGTTCGTAAGTAAAAAATCTAAACTTTAATTTGAGGTTGCAAACATAAATGCATAAACAGGAAGTCAATAAAAACTAAGGGAGCAGACATACAACTGTCTTAGATGGAATAATTGTTTTTAACTTCATTTTTCTTTTTTCAGGCTTGCTATGGGCATTTAGTGCTGTCTTTTTTTTGTTTTCTTTCTCTCTGGTCGTGTACCTAATGTTCTAGCTTTTTTGTATGCTTCAGAGCATCAAAATAACATCTATCTCTCCTCTGGACTGGTTCTGTTGTCAGCAATGGCGCTACAAATCATGCATTAAGTCATAATGTTAGGAAGTTTCAATCAGATCTAAGTCTTTTAAGAGAAGAAAGAAAACAATTGGGTTATTGTTTCTCGAAAGGAACACTGAAACAACACAGAAAAACACCTTGGGTCATTTGTTTTCCATTCAGGTAAAAAGGAGCATAGTTCTTGAGTATATCTACTTTGGGGGCCATTCCAAAGGAGATAAAGGCCACTCGATTTTCAGAAAAAGTAATAATAGACAATGATACATGTCATTTTTCTGGCCTTCACTGAGCCCTACAGAGTGATTTTTGACAGACTGGGTAACCCTGTGAGCTGCTTATACGCTATGCTGTGCGGTAGACGCAACCCCTCATTGAATTCACAGCACACTCAATCGGGTAGGGCGGAACGCAGGGAGGGAAGGAGGGAGGGAGGGAGGGAGGGAGGGAGGGAGGCGATGTTTACGGCTGCGTGACGAGAATTAGCATTGAGAGGCAGGGAGATGATCTGAAGACCCGCCGACAGCTGGGACCATAACGCCCGGCTGCCTGCTGCAGCACAAAAATCCAGAGGAGGCAGCAGCGATTCAGACAGCCAGAGCTCATTTCATTATTTCAAATTGGGCTTCAGGAAGCAATTAAAGCAGGAAGGGAAGACAACCTGTGCATCATCAGCAACTAAAACACAAAGTAAAAACCTGAGTTGTGTAAGCAGATATTTTCTGAGGGGGGTGACAGGCGCTCTATGGAGCAGCAGCCCTACGGGTTTCTGGCAAGTGCCACATTTGCAGAAATGATTTTGCCTCCACATTAGTAAACGTATTGTTGAAATTTGTGTTTAACAGACTTCTGATTCTGATTCTGATTCAAACGTACCACTTATTCATCCACAATTTGCTTTTACTGAACATCATTCTCATTATTTTGTGCTTGATTGTATTTTGTTTTCTGATGGAAGCTGCTGTGTTAGCATATCTGCTGCCATTAGTGATGCAAGGAGATGTTCCCAAGCAGGTCTAGTAAACGCATCCAAAAGAAATGTGTAGCATTTGTTTCTTAATATTCATCAATTCATGAATCAATGCTTTCAATCCAAACTCTTAAGTTCAGCACAAATGAATTGTTTTCTTGGTTCCAGGTGGTTGATTTTGATGAGCATTAAAATGTGCATTTGTGCTTTTTTACTGGTGTGTGATCATGAGTGAACTCAGAGATGAGTTTGACCACTGCTCAGCTTTACACAGCCATTCCCTGTTTTGAAAAAAGACTTTAAAATTGAACCAAGTCCTATTTTTTCATGATGTTACGACTGTTTCAACCGGACAAAAATCAGACCATAGCCAGGGCTTTTGGAGTCCCCGGCTCTACTGTTGTGCACCTTGCTGGGCGTCATTACACAAGTGGCTAATCCAATGACCATCCTTGATCCGGTCCACCCTGGGTTAAGGCCACTGCACAGGACCGTTCCAATCGGCTATTACATCTCTGTGACAACATCTTAAACTGAGACTATGGGGAAACATCACAGGGAGGAACCATTCCGATCTGTTTTCTATTATCTGTTGCAGTCTTTTATTTTTGTTAATAACAGTGCTTTATAGTTTTTTTTTTATGTTTCTGTTGCTGAAACTGTAGTCAACATTAAAAATGGGACCAGTGCATCAAGGGTAGATGTGTGGTCAACGTGCATTAGATATTAGATTTAAAACAGAAGAAATGACTCCACTAAAAAGTGAACTTAGAAAATGGTCAGTTTGTATACTGGAGTAATGTTGCTGATACTAAAAACCTTAACAAAACTATGCCTTATACTTTCTGTGACTTCCAACTTCGCTTCTTCAAATGCTATTTTCTCACCATCCTGGAAGACTCTCTCCACATTCAGGCCATAGGTAGAGCAGGTCTCATAGTACGTGCAGCGCTTCAGGTCATTTGACAACTTTCTGGCCCGCGAGTCATCAATCACTCTGGGGTTGGCAGCACTGATTGCATCTAACAGACCACAGTGAGAGAGAAATGTTAATCAAATAAAAATGAATTACAAAGTAGAAACACAGAGTGCTGCCTATGGAAGCACCCAACACTTCCTCATATTTGTATGGGACGCAGAGCAAATACCTTGTGTTCCAACGAGTACCATGGGCACCTCGGCTGTGTTTCTGTAGGTATTTAGGCGCAAGAAGTAATTGTAGACCGTCTGAAAGCTGATCTCATCCTCCAGGCTAAAGACGAAAACCACTGCGTCCACCCAGGCAGCGAACTAAGAGCAGAAGAGAGATAGTGTGTTGACAGAGGCACTTAGGGGACTTAGATAGAGTAATTAACATGTTATAAATACATAATTAAATAAACAAACATGTCAATTCCGTGTTAACTTCACACTTCAGTGTAGCTTCACCCATCATAGATGTGTCCTGTGGTCTTATCCTTGTACATCGTACATACAGACAGAAGGGGGCAGTGTTGTGACAGCTGTGGTACACTAAGGGGCTCGTTTTGAAGCTAAGCTCAGGAGCACAAAAGAGTGCAACGTCAGATTTAACACCGCTACAGCATCTCCATCTGTATTTCATATTCCCACCGGTACCATAATCGAGGAGTATCAGTATTTTCTCTGGCACACAGATTCATAATAAAGTTACGTTTTTTATCAAACAGTGGAAAAAGATTTCCCTTGAAAGGGAGAAAATCAATAATCAGCATCCATTCAGGGGGAAAAGGTTCAGTACACACCTGACAATTAATAACAGGCAATCCAGTAACCAATTGTTCCCCCGTATGGGGCTCTTCGTCATTTAGCCTTCACACTGGCCAACACCCCTATATGGAGTGAATGGCAAATAAAGCCTCTGAGCCACAACTCTGAGTGGGAACATAATGGAGGCCTTATAATTATGCCACTAATTATACAGGCAGCTGACAACTGAGTCAAACTCATCTCTATTCCCTTGTCTTGCTGAGCATAATGCAAGCATAAGTCGGATCTTTGCCAGGCCAGGCATCAGTAGCTTCTTAAAGAGCTGCATGGTAAATTTGACTAAAACAGGAAAGCCTGTAACTGAAACCACCAACTCTGCAAGCGCTCTCCAGAGTTGGGCTTTGATGCTTTGGGATCAACTGAATCCAACAATTACATGCATACATTTTTCACCACCTCCAGGAACAAAATTGATCAAAGAATCTACAATAAGGAGAGGTTTGGTGATCAACCAAAGGTACTTTTGTCAAGTCTGCAAAGGGAAAATCAGAAAGAAATCACACAGTACTCCCCTTTATAATTAATAAAACCGTGTCTGTGGAAGCCATTCATTGATTATTTACATATGCCGAAAAAACGGAGCAACAATAGTAGTCCGTTATATCTAAACATCCTTGAAAGGCGTTTAAAATTCCCAACTTTTTAGGTCTATTTACTTGAAATGCCTCATTACCTTTCCCATCTTGTAAAGTTCAGGTAATCTTTTTCTTTCAGTAATTACTCTTAAAGTTCACCAAAGTTAAAATTTGCAGTCTACGTGCTTTAAAGTGGAGTTATTGTGGATGTGTCTTAAACCCACATTTCTTTCTAATGGCCAGGATAAGGCAATTACAGTTTAAAAATTAATTCACAATAAAAAAAATGGATTTATTTGACTTTTTCTTCAGGAGTTAATGCAAGATTCAAAGTAGCAAGTTATCTATTTTATCTTTTTTGGTGATGTATAATTTCTTTTGGGGAAAAACCACAGGATTTATTCACAATTCTCCATCAGAATGAAGCATCGGTCTGACTCAAACAGCACCAGTGTGTGTGTGCCTCGACATGTTTAAGCTTTAGAGCAAGCACAACCTTAAAAGAATCTGCACTCTTACCTGCAATTCTGGAGGGCCTCCTTCATCTCTTATCAGGAGTAGGTAGCTCTGTCCGTCCACAACAATTTCTTTCTTAAAACGGCCACCTGAGGACGAGAGGCGGTTAGGGAGATAATATTGGAAACCGTCTACAGGAGAGTTCCAAGTACAATAAAAGCAGACTGCAGACACATTTTACACTCAATAATTGTAAGAAAAAAGATGTGAGAGTCAATAAAACTAAAATTTAATATCAAAACACAGCTTGACATTGCTCATAAGAGTCTTGGCAAATGCATTAGTTTAAGTGAAGTTTCTCAATTTAAACATCCTTAAATGCAGTGTTGTCAGGATCATATGCAGACAGGAAACCAGGTCCCTCTGGTGCCAATTATGTGGGCGATAAATTGCCATTTAGCATGTCTAATGCACAGCTGCTGAAAGGACCTAACTCAGTACCATTATCACCACACAGCCACAAGTCGTGGAAAGGCCAAACGTTGGCTCCACAAACATTATCAGACTGCTCATTCCATCTCCCCGACTTCACTGCGTGAGCCGCATGTTTTCTCAACATCATTTTCAGCCCAATTATGAAAAACAGGTGGAAGAGAGAGATTCAAATATTGGAAATTAAACTACATATCAAAATGAGAGTTCGTTCTCAAATCTTGGACATCGGGGTCATGTAGTGTTCACAGGACAGCAGCGTGTAACACCGGGCTAGCATGCACCCCTGAGCTTCCCCCCTTTTTCTAATTCTTTTCTGATTTAAATGCATTTTCCTTGCCTCTAGCAAAGCCGGCTGCAGATAAGGGAGAGACCAATGGGAGAACCACACGGTAAATTAAATTTTGCATATCATCTGAATAGTCTGCGATCCTGTGGAGATTAAAAACATTCAAATGAGAAAGTTGCGAGGCTAGAAATGTCCCAGGGAGTAAGAATGGTGCTTTGTGAATACGAAATGATACTGAGAGCAATTTGACCGACTTGAATAATGCAAAACTTTGAAAGATTCCCAGAATGATGAGCAAAATTTGTTTAAAAAGCGATGTTAAGAGCATCAGACATAAACACAAAAGAGAAGTACATCTTTTAGGATTGTACAGAATTTGAATATGATTGGAGAATTGTGTCAGAGATCTAGCTATTCAACCAGCTTATTAAGAACTAAGAATCCCGCATCAGAGGGGAGTGAAAGGCTATACTGTAGCCGGGAGCTGTAATTTTTAATAGGCAGACAGCATTTCCTCTGTCAGCAAGCAATAGATATCCGCTTGAGCCGCACTTCCACCCTGATAAGTCCACTTTAACTTTCTGGTCAAATATGGGATTCTCCCGGCTTTTTGCAGCAGCTCTCGAAACCCTGTGTACATTCTGGTTGTGTAACACAGAGAGAGAGAGATTGATGAAGTTCCAGAAAGATTTCTCTTTCCTCTCTTTATTTCACAAAAATCACTGAGCTTCGGAGCTTTAGAGACAAAGGAATCAAAGACTCTGCACATGCATGTTTGAATCTTGTTTAAAAGATGAGAATGATCTCATGGCACACTGCAATCAGACCGATACAGAGACCAGAGATTTACATGTATCAGAGCGCAGAGTTTGTAAGGATGCTGGCTGAATATGCCGGAAGAGATTATGGAGAAGGCACTCAGAAACCAGCAATGTGAGAAAGCATACGGCTCTGGAGAAAACAGGGGAGGTAAACATTTCCATTACATAATCAACCGAGATGCTGACATCTCTATTTAGAGCCGAGCAAATATAATGCACACAAGGAGAAAGCCTGTGCTCAGAATAAATGAGGCAGACTATCACACTCTCTTTAAGCATAACGAAAGCAAATTCAAAGTTATTTGAACGTGTGTTTCAAAAACAGGCGACTAACAGCTCTGAATACAAAGATGGCAAGTTTGTAGGCATAGTTAACACGCAGTAAGCATACTCTGCTTTACACGGAGGCTTAAACCTTGACACGGAGCCACAATCCGACGAAGCTCCATCTGCTGTTGCCATAGCAACCCACCCCAGTACCTTTTTTTTTTTTTCTTTTCTTTTTTTCTCCACATATCATAGCAGAAGCCCAGGAACAAAACAGCAAAGAAAACAGCCACAGCTAAACCCTCCTGTGCTCGCCAATGCTTCTGCAATGTGGAATACTGGAGAATAGCCCGTGCTAAAGCACACGTGAGACACAGATAGCCCGAGCACTTCCTGTTGGTGACACAGGTGTGTTGTATCACCGCAACCGACGTTAAAGGACACGCCGACATATCTGAACCGACACGTTTCCTTGATTAAAGCAGCAACTCTTCAGCTCTGTTTTTCCAGCATTTCCACCATTGATTTCTCAAGCACTAATTAAGCTATGAAGTTGTTGTTTTTCTCTCTCCCTCGGTGTAGCAAAGAGCCAGAAACTAAATATGCGCTTCATGTCTCATGCACACTATAATTACACTCAAATGAAACACTAGCAACCCCTCAAAGATCATCAGTTAACTCTGTGTTTGCCAGAATTTTTTTTATTTTATTTTAAAGGGCAGACCTCCAGGGACCGAAGGGGCATTTTTGTAAAGATTTAAATTGGATGACGATAGTAATAATCTATCATTTTTTTCCTCAGTTTACGAGGAAAGTATATTGTAAAATACAACCCGAGGGAAAAATGACAAGGTTTTGGCTTGACCTTCATGTTTTAATAACGACAAATAATCCCCAGTCATGCGATTCGTCCACATCTCACTTGTGGATGGAGACACAAAACTGAGCCGGTTATTAATCTCGGCATCAGGAAGCTCAGCTAAATTCCAAACAAAACATTCTGATACAAACTAATTAGAAACAAATCTTCACAAATGAACCCAACAGTATGTAAATATCCTAATACACTTCTAATATGGTAATGCTTCAGAATGGATTAACATTATAAGCAGGCAGGGGGGACTTTCTAAACTAATTTACCACTCTGCAGTTGCCAAGTTATATCAAATTTAACAGTTTTTTTATACATAGACCAGCATCAATACATCAGCAATATAAATAAGAAATAACACAATACATCTAACAAAACAACAACATTACAGGTGACTTTTTTAGCAAAGAAAAGTTACACTATATTAAAAAACATCAGCTCCAGTTCTGGGATGTTCTTCTGCTTGACTTGACCATTCCAGACTATTTGTTTTATTTCTCTTTGAGCTGTACTGGTGGAACTATTTGTTTCTAGAGCTCAGCGTCTGCCAATATGATCCGTTTATTACTGAAAAAGCTCCTATCGTAGATGTTCCAGGACTGAATGAACATTTTCTTACTTTTTTATGTAATATTTCTGGGTCATTCAATACATCTGTTTTCTTATTTACTTGATTCTATAACTGAAAAGAAAATGCAGCCCTGACCCACGCCACCTTCAGCAGACTCTTACCTTCAGGAGACTCCTCCTGCACGTATGTGCCGGTCAAGTACCGATGCACCAAAGCTGACTTCCCACTGGACAGATTACCCACAATGCCCTGAAAGGCAAAGGAAAAAAAATACATAGAAATTATTACAATAGAAATGAGACACAAGCGGGTATTTTGTTTCCAATGTGCACTATAACTATTTCTAAAACCTCATCATAAAAAACTGTATTTGATCTTCACTCTTTTAATATTAAACTTTTTTTTTTCAAAGGTTTGAAATGTGCCAAATGATAACAGTTAGGCTGGTGACAGGATCTTTATCTGGAAATTGCGTAGGTGAAAACAAAACATTATCCACTGACCTTGAGACATCAGAAATAAAACAACTTTCCCAGACAGACTTTTATTATTAAAAGGTTTCTGTTTATCTAGCAAACCAAAATTTTAACTCCCATTTATTTTTAAACACAGTCTGCAACTGAGTTTTCATGCTCGTTCTTGCTCACATCAGCTTTACCATTACAGCCTAAACGATAAATCAAATTTTCTCTGTCTAGAGAAAAGCTGCAACACCAAAAAAAAACAAACCTAATTTTCATTACAAAATCTTTAGTATAATTTGAATAAGACAGGTCATTCCAATTTGAGATAAACATGGATACACCTAAAACTGTTATCATCAATTTCTGTGTAAGTAACTGGAAAAGTGAAAATAAACTAAAAAAGAAGCATTTTTCAGACTATGCAAAACGATGTGACGACTTATGCCTCTGTGAAAGTGTCCATAATTGGCAAAAAGTACAATTCCTTTTATAATAAAAGGGATTTGATTAACAGTTAATACACCGTTGAAAAAATGTGTTCAATTTCACACTGCGGCAGAAGCTCACGGTTAAAATGATTAGTTTTTGTTAGTTTCAAAGTTGCTCTTGGTAGAAATAAAATGTTTAAAACATTGGGGGGAGAAAATCCCGATGACTTGTGACATTTAAAAACTGCTGATGTGCTACACAGTTGAGACAAACAACTGAGCATCTCTGAAGTGTCTAGTCTATCCTGGAGCCAACAGAAGAAGAAGCAACAGCTAGCGGCGCTGACACTGGCAACCCAATAAAACGCCAGCCAGCAGCACGAGTAACAATGAAAAACACCCAGATTGTTGAAATAGAAAAAAAAAAGAAGAAGCAACCTTTACCTTTTTCTAAGCTGTTCACAGGTTTTAGGAAGTTACGCAGAGTTTGGAACTTTATGTAAAGCTGGCTTACTGAATGTGTGAATTGGTACTAATTTGCATCTGTTCGTACTCGGTAAATTAACAGATTTATTTCTCTGTCCTAGAGGCCATATGTAAAAAGAAGCCTACAGTGATAATATGTTTTCTACCAAATTAGTGCCAGAAGCCACGCTAATAGTGTAATTAAACCTGTGCACATTTCAAAGACGCTGTGCTACCCTGCACAGTATCAGTCAGATAAAAGTTTATGCTTATTGGTGATCGTCAGTCACTTGTTTTCTCGATGGATTTGAGTGAATAAATCAAAATAATATATGTATTATCTGAAAAAAAAAACCCTTTAAGCTATTCACTATAAGAATATGTTCTTGTTTTGTCAGATATATAATACAGGTAAGAAAGGGGTACCCAAAAGGCTGAATGTGATCTATTTATGTAGGCTTTACCTCAATATTAGCTAGAGTTTAAATCAGTGTTTGTTGGGAGGGTGGACCATCAACCAAAATGTGTTGGTCTGGTTCATAAAGAACAGACGGCATTTATATATATTTATTGGGGCACAAGTAAAAACAACACAGTTGTTCTTTTTACCGGCCAGTTTTGTTCTTTTTTTTTAACTCTATTACTTTCTTTAAAATGATTCCACCGCTTTTACTCTTCAGCAGCTCTAGCAGACCTCAGTGGAACGCCCACAGGGCGATGCATGGAGGAGGGTGGGCTGATGATGCCTGCATGTCTAGGAAGAACAAAGGGTGCACGCAACCTCGTTCTTTCGTCCTCTTATTCTTCAGATTTTTAGTGGGTGCTAAAGTTAGGCATGATTCTAATTAATGAGGGAGGTTTGCTCAAGGTAGGCATAACAGAAGATCTTTTTGAGACTTAGCCAAGCTCACAGTCCTTAGAACTGAAGGATATGTGCGTCGTGAGGTACACAAACAGTGTGAGCGGTAAAAGTTAAGAGTCAACAAAAATGCGCTTTGAAAGTGCCACGGAGTTGACATTCCCGCTGTTTTAAGTGTTCTGCTCCGCGACCTGCTGGTATACCGGCTGCACGAAAAAAACTAAATGCAGCATCAGCGGCGCTCCTCAACAAAACCTTTACTAGACTTTGGAGATGATACGTTCTGATCTGGAAACAATTACAAGTGTGGAGTTGATGATCAAACAGTGGCTGAGGAGCAAAGTTTTACCACAACTAAGTTCCAAACAAAAATACCAGGGTTGGAGCTGGTAACATTTTTCTCATGTGTGCCATTTTGCAGCAATTCCCTTTGAGGAAAATTCCAATTAACACCTGAGGATCACGAAAAGAAGTAAACGAGATAAAATTCTTTGAAGCCAGTAAAGGAACTTGAGTCTTTGAGCTCATAACAGTGAATCCTCTGTTTTTTGTGTGTTTTTGCTTGTAATATATCGCTAAAGTTTCCCTTTTTCCAATAGACATGATAATGAAATCACCTCATTGAAAACATATTTTATCAAATGGCACAATAGTGTCTTTATGGGTAGATGCCATTGAATAATGGGAGATGTTGGTTGTACACTTGGCAGTGATGGTGTATGCGTGTGTCTCACTGGGATCAGACCCAGAAAGTGTCAACGGTCTAGCCCAGAACTGCCACTCATCTCACGTCCTGCTGCAAGCCACCCGGCATCGCCATGCCAACGCATCTCATTAAAAAGTCCCCCACTACATGCCAGAAAAAAGTCCAGCCAATGCCTGAAATGTTCCTTTTCATTTGAAATGGGAAATGAGCGTTGCATGTGCGGAACATGCTTTCCCGCTGATTTTCAAATTGATCAGAGAAAAGAAAACCCAAGGGCAAATCAGCAGTGGAGCTATTAGAAGTTTTTTTTTTTAAATAACTACTTACCACTTTCAGCTCTGGAACTGATCGACTCAATGTCCATTCCTGGCTGTTGACGAAAGAGTCTAAAATGAAAGAGAAAGGGCAAATAAATAACAGGCATGACAGCAGTAGTTTTCAGCTCTTTAAAGTCTTTTTGTCTTGTTAATGATACATCATATAGATGTGACATTATCTACAGTCAGGTCAGTTTTCTTCAAACTACAAATACTATAATTACGTCTTTTTGTGTCTTTATGTGTGTGTATGTGTGTGTAATTGTGTGTGGGTCCACAGAAGTATGCTGAAACATTCACCTGGGGAACACAGCAGTGCACTTTTTTAAATAAGTACTCTTTGAACACATTTCTATGTGCTTTATTCCCCCAGAGGACTTGACATGAAAACAAAAGGCGAAGACAAAGAAAAGTTCAAGCAATTATCATTTCAAGTGTACACAATTAACTTTCCATATTTCCTAAAAGAACAAACAGTCCTTTAAATATTAGGTATGTTCGTCCCAAACAAACCGAGAAACAAACGTGTGTTTGCAAATTCCAGGCCAAGGAAATAACTGTGTGGTTTTGCCATAAAACGTGTCTGCTGATTAAGCAGGCAGTGCTTCTAAAGTTATCGAAATAGAACTAGGAAAAGCTTGACTAAAATTAGGAATATTGATTGTTAATGTTTTACAGAAAATCCCTTTCACCAATTGAAGTTTTTCTGTCACTTTACTTTTTTTTATGTACTGTACTCCTTGATATCATAAATAAAAAGGTACGAATGACAGATTGCCGTGTCTGTTAACAGATGGTAACCTCCACATATCACCACGTACTGCACCCTGAATGTTGAACTGTTGGCTGAGAATTTGTACCCATCATGTCTATTGATAGAGTTCAGATCTGTTACAACACTGATCTGTGTCAACACTCGACATTAAAACCCTCACATAGTGTTTTTACAGTTTCTTTTATTTTGTATTTTGTTTTATGCCCATATTTTTTTCCAGATAATTTCTACAACAGAGTCATTTTATTTCAGGAATTAATAAAGTATCACTAAAACGAAATAAGATGAATTGAGTTATGATAATGCACCGATAACGTGACATGAAATGTCAACAATTTCCTGCAATTGGTTATATAAATATAAAAAATACCTAACAAAGAATTTGCTGGAGAGATAAAATGCATTTGAATAAATACTCAATAAATGGAAAATCTTAATCCATCATTTCCATTTGTTCAGTCTTGCACTATGTGAGCATTTTCAGCTCATAAAAACAAGCCTAAGAAGGAACTGTGAAGCATATACGATTAGCTCATTTAATTTACAGTCTTAATATAAAACTTTACAGTCTCTGAAAGAGATGGAACTAATCTTTCTTAAAAGCATAATTATTTGGCTTAATTAAACTTTTAAAAAAATATATTCCATACTAATTAGAGACAGAATAAAGCTTTGAGAAAGGACAGAGCGAGAAAAACAGTTCAAAGAACAATGCAAGCACACAGAATTAAAAACACAAGTGACACCTCCGCAAGTTCAGCCTGTTTTTCCACAAGCACGCCCAACACGGCTTTGCGTCATTACAATGATAAAAAATAGACTATCATCCTCTTCTTTGTGATAGTGCTCCTGTTATCTGATCCTCTAAGAAGTTACAATCTCCAGTGATGGTGTGTAGATGCTACAGTCTTCAGGCAAAAGGTTTTCTGCACCAGGTGACCCCCTCCACATGTGTGAACCACAACAACCGGAGTACACGCGCACCTTCATTACAGTAAGCCCTGTTGTTGCAGCAGCAGTGGTTATTTCCCCTTGTGCCTCAGGCAATCCCAACACAAGAGCAACGACAAAATCCACGGTAACCACTTCTGCCCCGAGACACTCTTCTCTTTTGTTCCCAAAACTTGCAACGAAAGACTCAGTGACTCATAACTTCACAGAAAAACAAACAATTTCTTTACCTACTACAACTACTGCCCTACTCAGCTAAAATGCTATGAATTCATAAGTATTCATGACCTCATGCTGAACTGGATGCCTCAGTTTTTGTGGTAGAGGGGAGTGCATTATGAAGAGAAGGCCTTTTCATCAGGCATTGTGTGGATCAGACTGCTCTTTAAACAGCACCCCTTCAGCTAAATCCTCTCAGTGTGGGTCTGGCATGTCGGGACACGAGGAGAGACATCTTAAAAAGAAGGAAATTCAATGCTGGTAACACTTCCTTGAGATGATGTAAGATAAGGCTGTTACCCAGATTTCCTGTCATTTAGTAAACATCCAGCCTGCCTATCTTTCTTATACTATCTCTGTTACACACACACTTTGTATAAACTCTTTATTGTGTGCAGTTTTCAGCACTTTAGACATATCAGATAGTAACCACCAGCACGTATTTAACAAAAGACCTCCACCAGTTTCCCAACTAGTCTTCAAGAAGAGTATTCAAACAGAGGCAAATCCACACATAAGGGTGCATAAAATGTAAGTGTTATCGAAGTTGAAAAATGCTGATACTCCAAAAATAGCTCATTCTTTTATCTATTTCCACTGTTGCTTTAGAAGGAATAAACACATTGAAGAAAAATACAGGACCAAGCACAATTCAACTAAATGTAACATTGAGAAAAAGTCAGATTTTTAATTGAATCCATGTGCTCTCTGTTACGTCATCCTTCAAATATGGCCGTGCCCACATTGCCCCGTTCAGATTGCCTATGCAACCAGAGAGCCCAGCATTTGTGATGCCAACAGGGGACACCAGTGTCTTTGTCTGTGTGAGGGGAAAACTGTGCAACTGTGTTTGTAAAGCTTTTCACTTCAGTGATCACGTCCGCTCAGATAAAGACTAACTTTAATTCTGGGCCTAATGACGGCTTCAAGAGGAAAGAAAATGCAGGGTGAGCAACCAAACTGGACACGTTTTTGTCATGAGTGTGAGTGCATGCACATGCATCCATAAATTTCTTCATGAATAAAGTCTGAAGTGGTTTCTGAAATGAGAGAGGAAAGCCTTGAGGTCTACACTTACACCCTTTCTGACTTTCCATCTATGCTTTTCCACCGTCAGAAATTACAGAGTACAAATTCAGCGGGCAAACTGCTTCAATGATTTGCCAACCTCATGACCAGCCACCATTCCCTGTCTGGCTCCTTTTATCAAGTGCGTCTTGACAAAATGGCTCTGCAGCGCAGTTTTGTTTGAGAAAAACAACCCAGAAAAGCATTTCGGCTCTCTCCAAATCCAACCTCTTCTTTCTATCAAATGGCTAAGTGACAAAAACAATCAGCAGCCAACAAAGTAAAAAATCTTCATAGTATATATCAGAGTATATATATCAGAAAGGATCTTTGTTACGAAAACCGATCCCCAAGAGAGAACCGTGTGATGGATTGTATCAAACTCAAATGAAAACTACTTTCAAATGATCCAGAAATAGTCACATCATAACTTCAGATGTCTTTTGATATGATGGCAAAATGCTTTCCAGCAGCCGGATGCAGACCCACCCCGCCCCCCACCACAATTGTGAAAAACAAAATGTACTCAAGCTTACATTTTCATTGGCATGTGTCAAAAGACCATAGACAATGAATCATGCCATATCTAATGTGTCCATTCATATGACCACTCATATTACAGTGTTATGTTAGTCCCAGCTTCCTTTTCAAAATTATTAAGCAAAACTATCTTAATTTAATATAATAATATAAACAAACTCATCTTTGAAACCCTTTTTAAAGTGTGGGTTTCAAAATAGCAGGCACATTCCAGCAACAAGATACAGGTGATAGAGGAGCTGTTGGCAGGAATTTAAAAAGAATGATATCAAATGAGACGCAGCAAAAAGAAGCAAAGGGAATTCTGTCCTCATGAATAACTTTCATGTCAGATTCAAAACAAGCAATCATCACACAAACACTCACTGGGAATTTCTGACAATTTCTCAAAATATAAAACAAAAGTCTCTGCTCTGCTGATGCTTATTACGCAGTTCCGTCTCTGATTCTGTTCTCTGAATTTCAACCCTTTCCTGACATGTGGGTAGCTGAACACCTAGGCCTCAAGATTAGCCAGTACTCCTCTATCCCAAATTATCCTTGGACAGCTCCCATTCACTGCATAGTAGAGTGATCCCTCCTGGACCTGTCGGCACCACACAGTGGCTTTGTTCATCCATAGGTGGGGGTGGGGACACCTCAAACTTTCAACCCAGTTCAACTCCCATCCCCCAAAACCTCACAGATACACATGATCACAATGAGGGTTTGTGTGTGTGTGTGTTCAGTTGTGAGAGAACTGGGCTTCGACTTTCTGGATTTAATTTAAGAACAAACGCTTAGGCAGGTAGCAACAGGCACTAAGTCCCGCCCAGGGCACTGAACACCAGAATTTACTCAGGTTGTTCGGCACACCTACATTCCTAATGACTGACTGACTGACTCTACATAAATACAGCAAAAACTCTGCCCGACACTCCACCATTAAGGAATAAGTAGCCTTGGTAACATGTCATATGAGAATACAAATAGAAAGGCTCAACAAGGTCAACCCGGGGGCACTTTAACAGCTTTGTGTTTGAATGAAAACAAAAAGCTCTTCTGTCCTACTTAAAGGCTGGCTTAATGAGGGTGAATTCAACGTGCATGGAACCTGACGTCCGGAGAGGTGATTATTAAGTTGTCACAGATGACTAATTGGGTCTCCGTACAAAGGTGATATGCTGGATTTAATGCAAAGCAGTAAGCCTCAGCAAAAAAACTGCCATTAATTCAGATAGTTACAAATATTTGCCTCTCTCTGCCTACTCTTCCAGGCAACTGGACAAACACTCTCCACCGTCAGATTTAACCTTTTAGCACTGTGCTTAAGTCGTTTTCTCTTCTCCCCATCATTATGGCATGTAAGCCCTCCTAATATAGCCCTGCAAGACGGCCACAGGCAGCCTCGCTGCAGCCACTGACGGCTTTGAGTCTCCTTCTTTAAGCTGCATTTCTAAGAGAAAAATATCAAGGCTCTGAGCAGAGACGTCGTGTTAAACCACACAGCTTCCCCACTACAAACCAAGCTTCAGTAACATGCTCTTATCAGTCATTTCTGATTTAATTTCCCTGTACCTATTCATTTGCTGAGCAACAAAGCCCTTATATAAGGCAAAGTAATTGCTGCGTAAGTGCATACAAACAGGAGGCCCAACCACGAAGAACTCTGGAGAAATAAAGTACCCAAAATAGAAAGCTACAGGACTCTGTGGAACCAGACATTTTTGAATGCCATCCAAACTCTCAGTTCCCCACATGTTTCTCATTTGCCTGTCCTCATTTTGTGGGAGAAAAAGTTCACTTCCGCATTTCTTTTTCTTTTTTTTTTCTTTTAGCTATAACTTTTGGTGCAGACACCAAGGGGCTATAAACGGAGAGCTCAGCTGAAAAATAAATCCAGCAGCGTTGCAGGTCTTACCTTGACCTTTGTGGGAGTTAGTGCCTGCCACAGTCTCTATGGTGATGGGCTGTGACTTATTATTCCCAGTCTGGGGAAAGTGCCCAGCATCTTTGCTCTGGGACTGTTGGGATTCAAATTTATTTGGCTGTTCTTTCCTCTTGAAACGGTTGGCTATGAGCTGCCAAAGACTCGGCTCTTCCTGAACTGGTTTGGAGGACAGTTTGGTTGGACAAAGGGGTACTTCCATTACCTTGACCTTCCCCCTGCTGTGGTACTGAATGTACTGCATGCTCCCATCTTCTGTCTGTTCAGTAGAAGCTGGGAGCATTCTTCCAGTGAGGTAAGAGAAAGGTCGTGAGGGCACAGTTTGTTCTTCAGCAGTACTTTTAACTTGAGAATCCTCCTTTGACACGCCATCGGATCCAAAGTTTATTTTATCACGAGGCGGAGTCCTCCTGATTCGCATGCTGAGGCTCCGCCTTAAAGAAGTTAAGGTACTCTTTGAAGTATCGTTTTTGGTGGGTTTTGGGGAAGGTCTAGCATCTTTTACTGCCTCCTTGTCTTTGCTTCTATCTTCAGATGCTTTGCCAAACAGCCTCCAACGAAAACTCCCTTTGAAAAATCCTCCTCCATTGCTGCCTGTGTGGCCATCGCTCCTCTGATTGTCAATCTCCTCATCAGACCCCTTCTTTTTTAGCTCCAGGACTGTCATGCTGACAGGTCTGGGCTTCCAGCTCCTTTGACGGACGCGGAGTGAGATCTCCTCAGGGGCCGATGGCCGTTGAGACAAGACAGGATTGAGGCCATCCGCCGCCCTCAACTCTGCCCTCCTGCTCTGCTGGTTGTTTTCAAAGTGTCCGGCTCTTTTGGAGACTTGCCGGGCTTGGAGTTCTGACAGGACTTGGCTTTGACCAACCAGCAAGCAACCACTCCTCAGCTTCTGCGGACGTCCGTCTTGTCCAGGTTCAGAATCGGATGGCAGCTCCACAGGGTTCTCATACATGCTCATCGTTCTCCTGCCGAGCGCGGCTTCATCCCGACGCGGTCTTCGTAACACGGCCCGCGGGAGAGAGCTGTGGACTGTAACCCCGACGTGTCCCCCATGGACAAACCTGTCCGAGTGCGCCGTGACAGAGCATGATACCGGGCCCTGAATGCGTCGCTCCTGGGCGTCCCTCCGAGTTGTTAGCCCTTCCACGTCTCGCTCATGTAGTGAAGAGTTTCCTGAGTTCTTGAAGGGTTGTTTCAAAAACCTGTCTGTCTTCATTTTTCCCTTCACCTCCTCCTCACTCTCTTCCAGAACTACCTCCTCTCTTTGCCTCCCAGCTCTGCTTGTGCAGCTCAAGGAGGGCCACCTGTCGAGTTCCTGTCGTGCCCTGCCCAGCCTGGGGCTGTTCTCCATTGGCACCAGATTCATTAGCTCTCCTTTTGGCTGGCAGATGTCCACCAGGTTGTGCGTGACCCTGCCCATTTTCGGCTCCGATTCAGCTTCATCTCCCTGCGTCTCGTTCAGGATTACAGAAACGTGGTAGACGGTCGTTCCCTGCTGCTGAGGTGCAATAGTGGTATTCCTTAGGGTTGTATCCACAGTCCCGGCGCTAAGGAACAGCATCGCACTTCACTGCATCAGATTCACACATACTACTTCATTCACACACAAAAACAAGTGTATACAAGGCCGCTGCTCACTACCTGGGAGCTGAGAGTCAGCTCATAAAGTCTTTCATTTGAAGTCGAAATTCCTGTGCCAGGCATAATCCTTCACCTTTGACATGGAGGGAAAAAAACTTCAAAGAATGTCATGTAAAGCTTCACCACCACCTGTATCCAGCGGATCCTTTACTGAAAAGACTGACATGGACATTCAGACTGTGGCTGACTCCTCTCCACACCTTTCAACCTATCCTGTCCAAGCAGATGCCCCAAAAAACAGGTTTGCAACCGTTCCTTTTACAACAAAGTCATATCTGTAACAGATGGGGAAAAAAAGCCCTGAATCATCCTTCTTCTTTGGCAAGTTGCGAACTGTGAGCAATCCTTGCTGTTGGCGCTCCGGACAAACCCCTTAATCTCTGAGCTCTTGCCATGCAGAGCATGAGGGAGTGTGTCTCTGTTTGAACTTTCAGCTGCCTTCCAACCCCCGGGACACACGGAAAACAAGGAACGGATCCCAAGGGCATTAGAACACGCCCTCCTGCGTTTTCCAGTGCTGCCAGAAGCCCCCGGAGATACAAACAGACACCAGCGAATATGAGATTGTGAGAAAGCAGAGCTGATTACACACTGCTGTAATCAGAAAATCCACAACAAACAGCCATGAATGGACACTTTGTATTCCTCTGACCAATTACAAAACCCCAAAAGTGGGATGCTCACTTTTGTTTGCTGTTGGAGGAAGCAATGGGGTGTAAAAGTCCACAACATTTTTAGTTGTTTCAGCAAAAGGTGTCAATTTAAAGGATCTGGAATGTTTTTCACAATGAGTTAGATAACCCTAACTAGGAAATATAGTATTGCATAGCCGTTAAGTGCATTTCCAACTCATTCTTCTCAAACCTGTGCTGGTAACACGGACTAACCACACAAACACACACCATGCGGTTGCAGCTTACACTCAGTGGGAAGGCTTAAGCTTAATTCCAAGATTGGCTGACAGCTACTTAAGATGAAGAAATTTTATAATTTTTAAAAATATAAATAGGTACGTGCAGAAAGTGGTACACTCAGCACTATGTGAAACTACATATCAACATCAGTGCATTTTAACTTTTTAGACTTGATTTATTTCAGAGAATCAGTGCATTAACTATGCTATTTACTGGCACCATGTTAGGGATCCAGGAATCTCCTCATTTCCTGCTAGATTTTCTCCATTTTTGTTCTAAAATGTGAAAGTGGAGTGGCAAGGAATGTTTGTGCATGAAAAAGAAGCATTCCAAAGAAAAACCATCTGGCTCAAGCCAGATTTTACCTGAACAGTGTCTGCAGCCACTATAGTGTGGATATGGCTGGAACACTGCCCCTTTGTGGTCAATAGGAGAACCATTCTGGTAGAAGACTAAGCTAAAGGTAATTAATATAAATCAGGTAACCAAGTAACCAACCAGGTAACCCCTTGCACAGAGGTTATTTGACCTATAGAGCATATAGTTATTGTGTCATAACATAAGGGTACATGTAAATAAATTCAAATTAACATCAATATATATAATCCTTCCACTGCTTCCAATGAGAAAATCATTTAACAGATTGACAAAAATGCTGACAACACATTTTCCACAGTTGAGGTATTTCTGGATTAAACTAACACTGCATGTCCTGTGGAAAGTCCACTCTGATAAAAGTTGAAGCCAAAGAGAAGCAGTTAATTTTCTTAACATATTTTCATGTAAACAGCAGAGATAGCAGAGACGATGTTCATGTGCAAAAACAGGCAAATATCAACCACCAATGAAATGTCTCAGTATTAAAGTGAAGTTAGAGCTCAATATTTAAATAAAGCTTACTGTGAGCACCGTTACCTCTGTCTGGGAAGAAGGGATTTGAAATTAACTGTGTCTCCTCGTGGAGCAAAGAATCCTTTTCACCCCACTGGAGAGAGAAGCTTCGAGTTCGTCTACGACACCCGAAGCAGCCCAACATGGTCAACCTATAATCTCAAATGGACCTCGCCAAAGAGGACTCAAAAAGTCATAGTTCCGCTCATATTTTTCCTCCTCCTTTTTGTCGTCTAAAGCTTCTTTTGAGTACTGCAGTGACAGTCTTCCTGCTCAGTGCTCAGCTCTGCCATTGCTGTATCCAGCCTGCCAGCGTCCAAAAGAATAAAAATAAAATCTTTTGTCATCTGCATCCTGCTGTGGCTGTGGTGTGCCTTCCAATGCAACGTGGGAACAAGCTTCAGCAGTAACTGGACAACCTCAGCGAATGGATAAGAGAGGTCATGAGCTGTGGTTGACTTGGAGTCATTTCCTGCTTGTAATTCATAACGCAGGTGTTGGTCAGCAGCAAGAAACCCAGATATGATTTCAGTCAATGCACAATCCTGATGTCTTTGTTAGTGGGGTCCGGTCCAGATGAAGTCTGGCCTGGGTAAATCCAGGGGGTTGTCCTCCTCGGTCTCACAGGAACATGTTAGTCCCTCAGGTAAGTAAATCTTAGTGGAAGCTGGAAGGAAAACTTTTCAGAAAAACTGGATTGACGTGTTCTGAGATTCCTGAATCATGCTCCGTGTCTGTGTCTGTGTGTACACGTCTACCCACTTACAATCTCATTTGTGTGCGTCACTCTGAAAAACAGGAGTGTACAGTTGTTCTGACAAACAACAAGGCTTCCGCTTCATTCTTTTTTTCTTTTTTTTTTATAATAATTCCCTTCAGGAAAACCAGACAGGCCTTGAGAGATGTTTTGATATCATAAAATGTTTGTGACACACACCTCCTCGTAGACATCCTTAACTAGTGTAGCAACTAGTCTAAGAAAATACGGAAATCGATTTTTCCCAGGAGTCGTTGACCAAAAAATATCACTCAGAGCAAGGTGTGAGATGGACTGCGAGGTCACAAAGTGCCAGTGCTTCCTCTCTGGGCATCACAAGGCTTCTCTGACACAAGCATACTTTCATGCTCAGTCTACTGTCAGATGGCAGAGTGCTGATCATGTGGGAAGCCCATTGGCTGCCAGGAACAGATGTGTAAAAGAAATGGGATTGCAGTGATGGATTTTAGTTTACACTAAATTCTGCATGTTTGAATAAGGAAAACCACATATGTCCAGCATAAAACATGGGAAAAGAAGCATAATCCAACAGAAATGTTGCAGGAGGATGTAAAGCAACTAGTTAACAGGAACTATCCCCTAAACATCCCCGAACAAACATCTTAGACTTACATATGTGACATTTGACGAGGTTTGATGCAAATATCCATTTAAGAACCACTAAATTAATGTCTTGATCAGCTTTCACCTCTAACTCAATTCTAGCCTGAGGGGTTTGAGGTTTTTAGAGAGTCGGAATTGGATTGGTTTCCAAACATCATTCATCAAGTGATTTTCAGGGGTTGTGATATATTCTGAATTATGTTATAATGAACCACAGGACAGATATGTCGAAACAGCCAACATAACAGAATGACGGCCAGCCTGTACTGGTGTGTTTATATAAAGACGCAGACAGTAGGAGCGACAAACACTTGTTTTGTCTAGCAGACTGCAGGAAGCATCCAAGCCACATGAGTAAAGCTTCCTAACCCCTCACCAGTATCAGATCATGAGTCAGTGTGAAGAAGGCAGCCATGCAGACATGTGCGCTGTGTCGTGAAGATGGGGTTTTGTCTAAACATGGCAAGTGGAAATCCAGCTACCTGCTTGACTAGAGCTGATTCGCTTGGTTTCTTTTCTTTTCTTTTTTTTGTGTCAATTAGGTGTCGCTGACTTCATTCACCCATGCTCATATGTAGCAAAACTACCACCTGTGAATCCTCCGACACTCTCCAGAATCCCATATGGAGTCCAAACCTCCAATGTGAGCTACTTCCTGTAAGCACATACAATACACAACTTCTGCATTATTCAGAAGTGTTCGTCGAGAGCGCAGCGTGACAAATCGGTGCCAAAGCTTGTGACAGTGACTCACTTGGTTTAATGAGAGCAAAAAGTGTTCATGACTTTTCAGAGGTACTGATGTCACGCTTTAAATATAGTGCTGCGTGAACATGTGAGCGGAATGTCTTCAAATGGAGAAAATGGAGGAAAAAAATCACAGTTACTACAAATACTCTCAATTCTATTTTAATTTCTTACCTCATTGGACAGATACTCACTGGAGTAATGAACGGTGATGAGTGTCCATCACACCAGACGCGTCAACTCTAAATTACTAATCAATCTGTGGATGTGGTCCTACATGAGGAGTCTATCTTTTAGATATGAACTGGTTGCTGAAAGAAGATACTTGAAAGTAACACTTTGGACACGAAAAGAGTCTATTAGGTTAACTAAAAAAGAGAAAAACCTGAATAAAATCTTACTGGCCAAGTCAAAGCTTGAACATGCACACTGATTCAAATTTAATAGTGAGGTTATGGATCCAAAAACTGATACCAAAAAATTTCTACAATTTAATCACAACAACTATAGCTCAACGGAAAATCTAGCATTTAAATATATGATACTCCAGCCTGTTAAAGAAAGACTTAGGATTGACTGATCTGGCTGTGGCAGTTTATAAGAATTGAATTCGTTCAGCAGACTTAAGTTTGTCCATGTCTTCATGCATGTACATCAATTTGATCATCAATGACTGCTTTTTTTCACTTTCAAAAATAGTTTTGGGGGAAAGTGTCAGCTTCCCAAACTGCAGGCAGTCTATGCAGCTGCGCCACATGTCACATTTAATTGTTAGTTTAACGTGATGGCAGCTTAGAAACCACATCTTGAGCCTGTTACCTTGACTACACTCATCTTGTATCTTCCTCACCCCCAACAACACTCCCATTACATTTGGGAGAAACCAAGACATAGGGATGTACAAATAACCCTTTGCCCGTGTGAGAAATCCATTTATCCATTTAATGTTTTGATACCAAATGAATTTCTCTGGTGACTGACATTTAT